TAATCATTCTAAATAAATTTGCAAAAGAAAAAAAAAATAAACAATTTTTGTAAAAATTCATTTGTTGAAATAAATTTTTAAGACTCTATAATATATCTTATTCATTTAAAGCACTTAACAGATTTTCTAATTCTTAGCTTTATTGCATTTTTTATTTTCATGCAGAACAGATTTTTGGTAACTGTGGGTAATGTTTTACAAAAAAAAAAAAAATTATTTAAGTTCTCCATTCTTAAGTTCTGCATATAATATAAACATTAAGCAGAATAAAAATTAGTTTCTTGAAATTTCATAAAATTAAGGGGAGGGTAACAGTTGAAGAGAAATTTTCTTTTAACAAAGATTTTGTAAAGAAACCTTTAATTTGTGAATAATTTCCAAATCAATGTTTTTTTTCACTGCAAAAATTTCCTATACTAAAAAAATTCTCTTGATACAAGAAAAATAAAATTTAACATTTTAAAGGTTTTAAAAAGGAACTAAAATATTTAATAATCAAACTTTATTTTTAAGTTTTTTTTTTTTTTTTTAGTGGATCTGTGATGGTAACTATTTTTAACAGGTTTCTAACTCACTTCCTCTTAACCTACAAATAACTTTATTCATAATTCTGTGTATTTGATCAATAAATTTAGTTGATAAATTTGTGTATGTCTTTGATATTAATTAATGTTTGGCTTTCAGAATTTACTGTCATTTTGCAGAAAGCCAAATGGGGAACCAGTTTTGATTAGAACTTAAAAGAATTTTCCTGTCATCATTTTTATCTGGAACAGATTTTACAGTGACGATGCATCTGATGACTATCTAAACATTTGAATTAGTCTGATATGATGTTGCTAATGAGTACTTAGAAATTGTTCAAGTGAAGATACAAATTACTAATGGTCTTCAAGACTTATATTATCTCATAATATTGCTGTTTTTTTTTTGTAGGCCAGATTCTAGAATCTCCGTCCATTGTATTTTGTCTCTGTCTCTCCCCTGCTGATAATTTGGCTGCTTCCTGCTCCTTACCAAGTAGATTTCATAGCATATCAAATTTCAATCTATAGGCACAAAGCCAGACAGAAGTTTTAAACTATGCAATACACACATTTTTCTTAGCTCTTAGAATTCACTTTTTTAATTGTTTCTATTTTCTAAGCCAATTTACAAAGAAAAGGATTTCTTCTGTGTCACCCTGCTTTAAATCTGATCGATTACATTTGGATTTGTTTACGAGAAGTCTTCTTTGCTTGTTCTTATCACTTAATGATTTTTAAACAAGAGAAAAGATAAAGATTTCTTTTTGGTTACATTATACTTTTTGGCTGTTCCTCACAAATAGACTACAGTTTTATTGAATTAATTTTTTTTTTTTTTTTTTTTATCCTCGTCCTTACTGTAATGAAACCTTTTAAAATGAACTTTCTCTGTATGGTAAGTTAACAAGCTCATTTGTAGGAAACTTTAACCCAGAGCTGGTATTGAACAAGGCAATAATGTGTTGTAAATATATATATATATAATTTTTTTTTTTTTTTAATTTTTTTTTTTATTATCACTTCTGTTACTAATTTAAATTCTAATTTTATTTTTCAGGTGCAAAAAAAGTAACCTGGAGTGCAACACCATCTTAAGAGGGGGATATTTTAATAATAAATAGTTGGGGGTGGGGTAGGGTCCTTTTAAATAGGGAATAGCATCATTTCGGCAGAAGTCCAGCTGCCAATTTCCAGGCTGGAAATCTACTTTACAAATCTAAACCTGATGTACTACTGCTGAAAGTACCACTCCAGGAAAGGGTGGGTGGGTGGTTGTGTGATCAGGGAAGATGGCTCTTAATCACCACAGCATTCCGAACTGCCCAAATTGCAAAGAAAACCCTGTCTTCTCTCTTGGGCCCATCACATTTTCCTCCATTCTTCTGGTTGAAATTGCAATGGCCAAGACTTTATGAAGCACAAAAGAAAAAACCCAAACTTAACAATGCTGCTTGATTATTTCATGTAACATTCGTTTATCAAATGTTTTACTGGCTGGGCTAATAAATATTTCATATCAAAAGCACTTGCTCTCTTCTTCTCTTTTTTTGTTGTGTGTGGGAAGGGATCCCAAATCTCCCAACATTCCTTTTTCTTTACAAAGTTTGTTTTTAAGAATTATTGTCAGCTAGTACATGTAATTTCCACTGGGACGGGGGTGGGGAGCTTGTGTATTATCAAGGGGCAACCTGACCAGCAAAGTCTACCAAGCCTGTTAATTTGAGCTAATGAGAAACCCCACTGTCACAATGAGTGCAAAAATTGCATGCTTCCTGGACATGAATGGAACAGAATTAACATACATATAGCCATGTGCCATGAATATGGATATTACAGCACTTATAGCAAGTGAACTGTACAGACTCTGGCCACCAGTACATGTCTTTGTCCATCAGGACAACCAGGATGTGGAGAAACTGGTATTTGGGATGGTCTTCTGCCTGCCACTATCATCATCACATAACAAGCAGATCTCATTTCAGGAAGTTTTCAGTCATGGGAATCCTTAACGCCTAATGGACTGAGTACCCAGTTAACTGAAGGGTGACCTTATGTTGTACACAACAGGTGTTGTGCATAATGGAACGATTCTAGACAATGTGGCTCAAACTCTCTGGAGGCATTGATGGGATGCTTTGTCAACTACTGAATGCAATGACCCTGGGATAAAGAACAGGCAAAAAAAAAAATGAAGTGACCTGTAAGACCTGCTGATGAGAACAGCCTTTTATATCTTGTCTGCCTCATCAGGGTAACAGACACTCTTCAAGTAAACCCCTATCAGAGCTTGAGTTGTAGAAGGTGCCATGCAGGGTTAATACACTGTCACAAGAGAAGACAATGAAGCTATTGCATTCTATCAGCTTGTCACCAGCTGGACTAACTTGATGGCCTTCTTAATTGCTCACCTAGCTCAAAGGACACTCAGTTCCAATAGTCCATGTGGACCCCCCCCTTGTGAATTGGTGGATTGAAATTGTACCTTAATCCTTTGGCATTCTGGATGTGCCACAGCTTCCAGTTTAGGGTTAAACTCCCCCCCCCCACACACACACAGAGCAGTCTTATGTGTGTATCACCAGGTCTTTCACCTGTCACAAGTCCTGGTGTCATTCAATAACCATACCTTCTTGGAGATTAACCACCCCCCAACCAGGGAGGGGTATTACATTCTTGGGCACTAGGAACAAGTTCTGGAGTGTTAGTCACCACACACAGCAGCTCAAGGAGGGAGAATCCCAATAAAAATCTGTTGGACATAAGGGAAGGACCCCAACAAGAACACTGCACTTAAGAGTCTATGAAGTAAGGAACAAGAGAAAAAAAAAATTCATTTTATTATTAGTAAAATGAAAAATGCTTTCCTTTTGATTTATTTACTGCAGCCCACGCATCTAATATTACCAAGTCTTATGTTAATTTTTTTTTTTTTTTTTTTTTCAGAACATATTGCTTTCAATAGAATCTCAGCCAAATCTATTGTTGGTAACAAAATGCTATCTGAAATGTTCATCACTGCATCATTTATCTAGATTACAAAGCAAAATGCACGAGCTTACTCAGTGCTATTCATTGCTGATTGAGTAACCCACTGGGAAAGCATTCACGCGTGCAGTAAAACTATCTTGATTAGTTGTCAATATAATGAAGATATTCAAAATAACTGGGTACTTTCTGTAAAACTTATTAGGACCCAGAAAATCAAGTGAAGCCCTAAATAATTTTATATATCTAAATGAAAGAAACTTGTTCTGTAAATGGGAAAGTTCTTCTCATAGATTTATATAAACCATCACAGTTAGAACAGCAGAGAGAACTGTATATACTAGAGTATTTTTTTTCTTTCTTTACACAAAAGATAGGGGCCATATTTGCTACCTTTGACTTTCTTCAAGTGATATACATTGGAATTTCAAACTGACTGAACCCCTCTTAGTCCATGGGGGGTAGAGTGTTCTAATTCTTTCTATCTCTCGTCTGTTACTTCCTTTTAGTAATCCAACTCTCCAAGTTTTTGTTCTCTCTGCTGTGGCCAGGTATTGAACTCACAGCTCTTTGGGCCAAATCACTTGGGATTTTTAGCTGAGAAATATAGACAGAAAAGGAGGGGGGAGGGGGTTGCACTATACACAAAATCTTTGAGTATATACATTAATTACAAGCCACCTGTTGTGATTTGTTGAAGGGTGTGGAAAAACACTGATGTTATTCCAAAGACCTGTAAAAAGTGAATTCCTGAATAGACAACCAAATGAAATGGAAACCAGATTTACTCTTTCTAACTAACATACAACAGATCTTTCCTCCAGTTTTTGTGCACACTTGAGAATAAAAAAAAATAGACACAATAATTGGTGTTATTTCTTCCAGTCAGTGAGAGAGATCATTGTATAGTCATAATAATAGAATTCTGAAAGTTTTCACAGCCCAACCAAGAAGCAAAGCTCATATTATAATAGGTTTTCTTATATGGCCAAGTAGTAAGTAATAGAAATGCATACCTTCAGTTTTTCTCTTCTCATTCCTCCAATGATGACGACATTTCCCTCAAGACAAACATAATTTAAAATGAAAACATTAGCCAGAGCAAAGACAGTAATGAATGCAAAAGGAAAAGTTTGAGTTCAATTTTATAAAACTGAACTTATTTATTTTTGTATTTCTGGGAAGAATGCTAATGTATTTTGTAGTAAAACCAAAATACATTGCAAGCATGCTGAAGATATTTTTTCATTAGCCACCCCCACCCTTCCAATTTCTTTGCATTGAGAAAGATGCAAATTATCTTGGTGAAAAAAAATAATTAAATGAGGGTGAAAATAGATTCATTGATATGAAAAATGAAATATCTTGATTTGGTGATTAGTCTAAAACAAAAGGTCTGATTGCTTGACACCAGCCTCTGAAATGGTAGTAGAAAAAAGTCTTAAAGAATGGTATATTGAGAAAGGAAAGTAGAATTTTCCTTTCTCTTCAGTCACTGTTAGCTTTCCGATACCAGAACCGAGCACGAAAATCATCACTGCATGTCAGGAACGCTGGACCCGTTGGTGAATGAACAATTGTTCGAACGACATTATTATGACCTGAGAAAATAAACAAAAACTGCATGAGACATGATCAGTTGTTTGATTCTAAGAAAATTTTCTGCAATTTTTTGTTTTGGAGTGAGGGTGACACTCAAGATCAACAACTATGACAAGCCCTAGAAAATAACACTACAGGCATCCCCTAACCCACAAAAAGGAATTTTCAAAAAAAAAAAAAAAAAAAAAAACTTATTTGGATATGGTGGGAAGAGTAAATTCAAGCCATTGCTTTTTCTAAGTGAGAGAAAAAAAAGCTCTTAATGTCTCGGCTGAAAATGTCAACACCCAACTTAAAACTAGATTCATTATCCAATATTTACATCATAATGCTAACTTTTTTTCTTTTTTGTCAGTTTGTAAAAGATTTTAAAGTTTTCAAAAAGACTACAGAACGCAGTTAAAATTTTCAGCAGGAAAGTGACCCAAATCAAAAACCTTTCACTGCTGTATTCTCATTAAAAAAATGTTTAGCCATAACATCTGCTCATAGTTATTGATCTTTGGTTTTTAGATCTTCAAAGAGTTGAATATTTTGCAAAACAACAAACAAACAGGTTAACAAATGTTCAATTTCTAGATTAATGGATAAAAATGTTTCAGTTATAGTTTACCTGATGATTGAGAGTTCAATCCTTATGTCAAGCAGGAGAGTAATGTTCTTTAGCTTAGCAGAACATAATACTAGTTATCTCCCCTTGAATGAGAACATTCTAACCTAAATAAAGGTTTGTTTTGTTTGTTTTTTCTTTTTGTTAATTCTGCATTCAGTACTGAATCAGTCCAGGCCCCTAAAAAAGGCTTGGATTTTACAACACCCCAAATTTTAAATGTCACTTTAAATTATGACTGGAGGAATTCCAACATGAAATTTACAAAAAGTAAATAGTATAACAGAGATATTAGCGTGGATTTTACAAGTGTAGCAATGCAATTTCTCACACATCTTTAGGAGATGAATAGACATAGCCCCCCCCCCCTCTCCAAGTCAATTTAATGACCAGGATTTTTCAGGAATCTGTCTCCTGCCCACCTTTGAATTGACAAACATAAAATTTTGTTAGTGATCTGGGTAGTCTCCCTTTCCAGTTGGTGGAACACAAAAGGTGCTGAAATGCATCATTACTTAAGTTAGTTAATTTTGATTTTACAAGTATACTAAAGTAAACTGGAATATATATATTTTCCCCTCTAAAGGGATTTTCTATTTTTAACTCAAAGCCTGGAGAGAGTGAGATTTGAATATAAGTTAAAATGTTGACAAGAAGCCAGGCATTTATATTTAAGGAACTCTGAACAAAAAAAAAAAAAGTTTATGGGTTGGCGAAATGAAATGACCATCAGTCAAGAGGAGATGGCAATCATTTTGTTCAGCTTTTATGTATTTTGGTGAATAGTAATTTCATGAAATGAATAGATAATTATTGAGAAAAATAGAAATCAGTTGAGATTTTAAATTGTGCAGATGAAAATTATAATTAGACCAGACAATATTAATTGGTTGAGGAAATCTCATTGATATTGTAGCCAGTATAACCATACCATAAGAATGGTGAAAGAGGTTTTTTAGCCAATGAGCAAATAAGAACCTGGACAGAACAAGCCAAATTTGGAGAAACAATAAATTGGAGGATTTTGAAAATAAATTAACAACAATCTAACCATGCTAGGATACAACAATATAAGAGTTCTGGTTCTGCAAAGTGACATCATTACCTTTCCCTAGTGAGAGAGAGAGAGAAAAAGAGTTGGAAACCATCTGCAGGCATGAGACCAAAGTTGCATGATTGAATTGTTGAAGCAACTGCTATTGTTTTTGTAATATGTTATGAATAATGTTGACATCTACTGACCAAGCAGCCATAGTTAGACTAGAGAATTGGGGAGGGTGAAACTGATGACTGAAACCCCAAACAAATAAAAATTATCTGATTGTTTCTACAAGTTAGCAATGGTTGTTTGACCTGAAATTCACCTTTTATTTTTCTTATGACTTTTCTCACTTTACTCCTGAGGACATTTCGACTAGCTTCACCTAAGACTTTGTCAGACCAAAAATTTAAACACAACATTGTCGGTTGATCTTCTCCATCATCTGAGTGAGTGAGAGAGACACACACACACAGCATGAGAAAACAGCTGAGTAGTGAGAAAAATGCCTTCAATGAAGAAAAGATTGTATAGAAATCAAGACTACTGGGTAGCTTAAAAGGTAAAATTTGGCACAATCACAACACAAACCTTGTAAAGAAAGGCAGAAAAATCGAAGAGGATCATATTTGCACAATTATCAACATTGTTTGGTTTCATCAAGAGAAAGACGTGTGTTGCTTTTCATTTAAAACATCTAAGTGTAAATGTCAGTTTTATTAAGAGATACTTTTAAATCAAAACAAAGAAAAAGCTTTGGATAAGAACTGATTTCACACAACTTTAACAGTTAGGAGTATTTTGGCAAATAAAAAGTCTGAAGGGGTGAGAAAATAATCTGAAGGAGCATTTTGTTGTGGAAAACAAAAAGTCAGAAGGCTGCATTTGGTTGAGAAAATTGAAATAAAAAGCAACGAAGAAAAAAATCAATGAAAAATGACAGTAACTTTACAAGTTGAGAGTTTGTATACTTTTTTTTTTTTTTTAAATTAAAATTGTTCACTTACCAAGGGATAATAATCTTTGTCTTTCAGCATTACGAGAATCCCAACAACACAAACTGGTAGTCTTTTCATCAGGAAATAATACTGGAATAACAAAAGCAGAAGAAAAAAAAGTTTTGATTGACATGATCAAAATATTCAACAGGAGAATTTCAATTTTTCAGAACTGCATTTCAATGTTTTTGTTTTGTAAAGACTACAAATCTCCACATGAAATAAAAACAAAAATCTGCTTCAAGGAGGCATTATTACCATCATTATTTAAGGTAGCTATAGGAATCTGAAATTGTTTAATGAAACAACTGTGGATTGTGGTTAGATTAAATTAGATGTATAATAGCCATTTCCTTATTTACTGACACTCCATTTCTTGCACGACATTATAGAATGAGTGCCAAAGATTGTTAAAATTAATTTAATATGAAAAATCTATTGTTTGGTCATCAAATATTTTATCCTACTGCAAAAAACAGTGTATTAGTGAAAGAAAAAATTCATCCAAAAGTGGTGCAGTTATTGTCAAATGGGAAGAAAAATCTTTGTAGATCAAGTTTGGATGAACTTGACACAAAAATGCAAACAGGAGTATTGTTTCATTTTTCTCCTCAGCATAAGATTTCCATATTCCTTTAAAAATTTACTCTTCCATCTCCAAGGTTGAAAATTACACTGCTTGTTACTCTTAGAAAGTGATTAGATTTTATATTATCAAAAAACTTAGCAATGTAACACAATGGGAAGACACATGAAGTCAAGTTATCTGAAGTGACTGGTGTTTTTATGATCAGTAGTAAAATTTGTGGCATAATCTCTTCAAAGTGGATACCCACTGATCAAAAAGAATAAAATAAATAAAACTTTTGGGAACAAGTGCCACTTGGTCGGAAATAAGAAAGTACAATTGCAGGCTTATATAAATAGTCAGTTACCTATTTTTTCACAACAATGCTGTAGCATATTACCTATCTCCCATGCTCACATCCACTGTTTGGTCTCCATAAACATTCAGTGTCAATAAATACCATTGGGTTCAATTCTTTCCATGACATACCTTATGCACTTTCATGTTGGATGCCATTTTGCCAGACTGACGAGTTATTATGTGTAACAAGGATACAAAAAAAGAGAAAGTTTTATGGGTTATTAGTGGGAAGATTCAACTGCTACTACCAAAAAATCTACTTCTGATGCTGAAATAAAATTGGAGGTATCACTTTTGGATATTTGTAGGACTTAGAAACTTTTTTTTTTTTTTATGATTTCACATTTTTCCTGATAAGTTTTAAACTTTAGAGAAATGAAACTTTAATTTGAAGAATTTTATTCCTATGGATCAGATTTATGAACTTACCATAATCTTCAGTGTGATTAAACACAGTTTGACTGCGATGTTCCATTTTCCCTGTGGAGCCAGCTCCAGTGTAAATAATAAGACAACGATTTGTGGATAATTCCCAAAGCCGAACCAATGAATCTTTTCCACTAGATAAAATGTACTGAAAAAAAGGAAATAATTTAAATCAAACCACAGTTCTAAAGCATATTCAATAGGATGAGTCCTATGCTTTTCTTTGGACAGAACAGAACTAAAACTATGAATGGATTCAACGACTGGAAAAGAATTTTGATGGAAACTATTTTTAAAAAAAGTGAGTTATCTCCCTTAGGAATTATATTAATTTTGAAAGTATTTGAATTATCCATGCTATAAAACCTTTTAGCAGCAATTCTTGTCTTTTATTCATTTGAATATTTCATATCCAACGTTACATGGGAAGCAAGTGAACAATCAATCAATAAAGATATGCCTCATATTTTTCAATAAACAACAGACAGAAAAGCAGTTTTAACTATTAAAAGGTTAGTCCAGTATTTACATTAGTCGGACTATTGTCCTAATCTTTGTCGCCATATTTGTCACAACGTTTTGGCCGTTGTACGCTCCGGCCTTCTTCAGGTGGTAGGAATTTCGAACTGAACCCTTTATTTCGATCACTGGGGTAGACTGTTCTAGTTCCATGTGCCATTATCTCCTGCTAATTTTCCCTCTGAAAGTTCTCCACTGCCTTAACCAGGAATTGAACTCACCTTCTTTGGGTCTGTCACTGGATCTAACCAGCGCCTTTATCCACTGTGCCATGTGTCCTATGAACTTCTGAGTATTATAAACCTAATGTTTTCAGCATCTGCAATTTTTGTTGTTATCATTGCATGTCTTTACCAGAGTTCATATTGCAACTTTGTTATCATTGCTTTTCTCTGGCACTCCTTATTACTGGTTCCCATATTGTATTTATTTCTATGCTTGGTTGGCTCAGGAGATTTTTGTGGCCTAGCATATGTGCTGATTCCTTAAGGCAGGCAGACTGTTTTCTGAGTGTTGTTGTCCTCCTCCTCCTCCTCTTGTACCTGCCTATCCCAGTTTTTGGGGGCTGCTGCCATGTACCCAGGGTAGTTGTTACGTTGTAGGGTACTACTTATACTGACCAATTCCTTATCTAACGTCTCTGGATCGCCACTTATGACTTTTGCTCGGTGTTGTAAGCATCAGACGATCCCTTTCTTTACGCTGTATGGATGGTGGGAGTCGAAATTGAGGTACTGTCCGGTGAATGTTGGTTTACGGTATACGGATGTCTTGAACCCATGCTCTGTTCGAGATATTAGTACATCCAGGAATGGGAGTGAGTTGTTATTCTCTTTTCACCATTGTGAACTGTATCGAAGGTCTTATTGAGTTCACATGATCCAGTAGAACCTGGACATCTTCCTGATGTGGCCAGAGTATGAAGGTGTCATCTACGTGCCGTAACCATATAGTTGGCTTTAGCGATGTAGACTCTAATGCCATTTCTTCAAAGTATTCCATGTATATATTCGCCATTGCTGGTGATAATGGCGAGCCCATTGCTAAGCCCTCATCCTGTCGATATATGTGAGATCCCATTCCGAAGTATGTTGTTTGTGTACAGAAAGTCAACATCTCCATCAGATTATCTATTGGAATGCTGGTCTGCTCCTCTAGGGAAGAGTCAGAGGTCAATCTATCTCTGACTACTGAGAGTGCCTCCTCTGTGGGTACCTTGGTGAACAGACTCACCACGTCCAAGCTCACCATCTGGTTGGATAGGATGGGAGCATCTTTGATTATTTCCACGAAGTGGGCGGAGTTTCGGACATATGAAGGAGACTTTCCGATCAATGGGTCAATTATATCTACAAGGAAGCGACTCAGAGGATGGCACACAGAGCCTTGGCAACTAACAATCGGCCCGGAGTGAAATACCGTCTTTGTGAATCTTAGGGAGACCGTATATGTGAGGTAACTTGGTGTAACGCTGCAATAACTGCCTATACGTCTTGGGTGCGAAATGATCCTTGTTCTTGATGAGGATCTGTGACAGTTTGCATTCCGTTTTCATAGTAGGATCTTTCTTCACTATGCTGTAGCTACCATTGCTAATGAGGTCTTCCAGTTTTCTTGTATACTCTGATTTGTCCATCACTACAGTCGCATTACCTTTGTCAGCCGGTAGTATGATGATGTTTTCATTCCTCTGTAGTGATTCAATCGCCAGTCTCTCCAGTTTTGTTATGTTAGACCTGGGCAGCTTGGCTCTCTCTAAGGCCTGTCTCATTTCATCCACCTGAGCCTGAGGGATGTTCAAGGCCACCTCCTCTACTCTGACAATGATGTCCAAGTATGGCACCCGCCTGATGGTTGTGGCGAAGTTGAGACCCTTATTCAACACTGACTCCTCAGAGGCACTCAGCTGATATTGGCTGATGTTGACTACTGCTTTCACTGGTGGGTGATGGACCTTGTGCGTCACCTTCTGATCTTTCAATCTATTTAATTTTTGCACTTGGCGAGCCTCGACTACATCAAATTCATGTCTGAAGTATTTATCCAAGTCATTTTGGATCCTTCTCTGGTCTTCTTCATTGGTAATTCTGTTGAAGAAATCCTCGAGCGTCTGGGAGATATGAGCATGTAGTCGATGTTTCATCCAACGATTGTACTGGATTCTCTCTCGGACAAGGGCATGTCCTGCTTTCTCTGCGACCCGACGAGCTCTCCTTGAATTGATAGGAAGTCTTGGTGCCAAGCCTGAAGGGATGAGTTGTAGGTCTCTGCATTGGTGTAGGAATGTCAGATGGTTCGATATTCGTGCCAGTTTTTGGTAGGATTTCTCAATTTGTCTCCATATTTTTGGTATATCGGGTCCGTACCGATCCTTCAGAGTCTGTCTATATTTCTGAAGAAGGCCGGAGCGTACAACGGCCGAAACGTTGTGACAAATATGGCGACAAAGATGAGGACAATAGTCCGACTAATGTAAATACTGTACATAATACCTCATCTCAGAAATATAGACAGACTCTATCTAAAAAGTTAGTCATTTACAACCTGCCACAAAATACCACAAATAATGCTGCAAAGTGAAAGCAATAGTACATGAGGGGGTACTGATAAGTTCTCAATTTGACCCATTCCTCAAACTCATATTTCGATTTTGGAAAGTGGGCTAGGCTGAGAACTTTTCTCCTACTACTTTTTGTCATATTTCTCAACATGTAAGAATTGTCCAGAAAGTATTGTTGTAATTTGAAAAAAAAAAAAAAAAAAAAAAAAAACTTACCTCATGGACGTCTGTACATAAAAAGAATCTCATGGGGAAGCCATATTGTTTTTATACAGACAAATTGACGCAAAATCACAGCGACCACAAGATTTGAAAAAATATAAATATGCAGTGTACGAAAGACGAGGGGAGGGTGTAGAGAAGGAAGTTAGTCTACAAAAGGCCAGACAATATGACAAATACAATATCTACAATTGTGCCATTTTAAATATCTCATAAAATCGGTTGTGGGGCCTTGAAGTAACTTTGCAACCAAATGTGATGATTTTGCTGCATATGCATAAACTAAACACTAGCCTGTGAGCCACTGTCATGAAATAAGTTTGTGTACTGTGTAATCAATGACATGTCCCAACCCATTTTTCATGTCTTGATCACTTGGGTGTGTCAGCTCTCCACCCAGCAACCTGAAGTCCAGATGTTGCACCCTGAAACTTCTGTTTTTTCTCCAAAGCTAAAATCATCAATGAAAGTTTTACAGACCATAGTTGAGATTAAGTAGAACATAACAAGGTACTACCTAATGGTGATCTTGAAATGGGGCTTTACAGATTGTTTTTAAAACAAAATGGAATGCTGGGAAAATTGTGTGATCTGATGTCTGAAGACGAGGTATCATTGCCCTATTTTTTTTTTCCTTCCAAAAGAATTTTGCTTCAAAAATTACTGCATGCAGTTTAGGGTAGGCCCCTACAGGTTGAAGTAACTGGTATTTACACATAGAATAAACGAAAGACAACCCCAGAAAGGAAAAAAAAATTAATGTCATTTGGTAAAAAAGAGATTTGTATTTTCAAATGTCATCTACAGAAAGTTTGATATTCTTGTATCATATTCTTGTTAGGTTTTTCCACAACAGAAATCAGTTTTTCATAAAAAAAACTTACTTTAGAATTGCGTGAGAAGACAGCCGAGCAGACTTCTTGTCCATCATGTGCATGTTTGAAAGTATTGATGCATTTGTTACTAACACCATCCCATAATTTCAGATCTCCATCTTTAGAGCTGGTCACATACAAATGAGCATTGGGACTCCACTTGACCTGCAGCAGCCATAAAGAAAAATGTGCGGTTGAGGAAAAAGAAAAAAAAAAAACTTGTAAAAATAAAAATATTGGGAAAAAAGAGAAGGTAACGAAGATAAAAATGATATAAAAATTTTGCCTTAGACTTTTTTTTTGTAAAAGTAATGTTAATGATTTAGGTCTGTTAATAAAAAAAAAAAAATTTATAAAATTTTCTTTGTCTGTCATATTTAATGAAATGTGTTTAAAAGAAAGGCTGCTGGTCAAATAGACATTTTAATCATATATAATAAAAAGGAATATACAAAGGGGTGCTGAAAAATCTAACCAAACAGAGTTTTTCAGAATCCCATTGTATTTATTCAAAAATGATTTTTTTCGGCACTTGAAAATGTTTAAGATGATTTTTAATTTTTTAAATTTACTCAAAATTCAGAAAATAAAATTAGTACCATCTAGATACTTTTCCAAATAAATTGCTTTTAATAAAAATGAAAAAAATCCATTGACCTCATTTATTCCAAAATATTCTTCCCTAAAGTGTTGGTATGAAACTGGTGACAAATCCAGAGAGTTCAAAATGATGACATCACTCCCCACTCTTATTCAGTGTGTGTGTGTGTGTATGTGTTTGAGAGAGACAGAAAGAGAGAAAGATGTGTAAGATTACATACGGAAGTGATTGGTCCAACATGTTGGTCAGCAGGATTACCAGACACAAAACATTGGAATGTATTGACATCATAAAGTCGTACTGAAAGAAAAGAAATTTTAAAAAGAGAATTTCAAAAACAATTCAAAACATATTCCCAATAAAAAAAAATTGTTGAGCAATGGCACATTTCTGAAGTAAAATGAAAACCTATTCAAAGACTAAAAAAAAATAGTCAAGGATAAAACCTTCATTATAAACAATAGCAAGAACTAAGTACGAAACTAATTCTGTTATTGAAAGAATCTGTGAAAACAGACAACAAAACTAGGTCACTTACTAAAGACAACTTCCACCCTCCCTTAAGGTCTTGGTGAGTAGTCAGTGGAATATTATAAGTTTCAACTGTTCTTAGAATAATGCAGAACAATCTCAGTAGATCTTTATTTTCAAGAAAAAGTGTATTTACACATAAAATACCCAGATTTGGTCAACAGAAAAAAAAAAAAAGAAAATTCATTCTTCTGATCATGTTTATCCAAAAGTCAGCACAACCTGTTAATAAGGATGGGGGAGGGGGGAAAGGGTTATTGCAAAGAATAATGATTAATGTTCCTGACAAATTTAATGTTTTTTTTTTCATCTCTAAAATAATGTTTTCTTAATAACCTTATGTATATATGTGTGGATATACATCCACACACACACACCACAGGAGTGATTCCTGCAGGGATCAGAGTACTTGGGCGTGGATCAAATAACCCAACTGTCACATCTATCTACTTGAAAGCAATAAAAAATATCTCAGAACACATCAGTCATCCTTGATTTTGGTTGGGCCCAAAGTCTTGACTCCGACTATTAAAAAGAAAATAATCTTGAACTGTTTTAATTTGCTATTATTTTTAATAGCTTTATTTTTTTTAACTTCTTACCATTAAATGTTGACATAAATAAATTTTATTGATAGTATTCATGACAATGTTGCATGAAGAAAACATCAACGTTTCCAGTGATTGTGGCATGTGATTATTTGCGGTTCAAAAATTTTAGCCCAACAAAGTGAATAAAATCCTCCTAATAATATGACTGAGATGAGCAGATTTCTAGCTGAACTTTAAAAAACAAAAAAAAAACTTAAAATCTCAAATTATTTTAATTCCGCTTTTCAAAGCTTATATTTCTTGTTTCAAGTCCATATCTTTAAATCTTGACATTAAATATTTCTTCTATTCATTATACAAGAAAAATTTAATGATGGTCAATTGGGTTTGCCTAAAAGTCACATGATTGATGAAATTAATTAAAAAAAAATAGTATCAGATCTAAAAATGAAATTATTTTAGACATAGCAAAATGTTGCTGAAAAGTGTTATCAAATCAGATGAGTCAACTCCTCTGCTGAAAACTAAAATAGACACATGTTCATTTCAAAACCTATTTGTACAAACAGATTGATTGGCTGTATGCAACAGAAGAAAAACTGATGCTGGTTTTGTTAGCTTTTTCAATCCAAATCAGATCAATTGTAAACCAATGGCACTTATAGTAATTATAAATCTACTGTTAGTGACTTCAAGCATCAAATCTACGAGTCATTTAAATAATTACAAATATTTAAAGCCATTGGGTGAATGTGACAGGGATGTAATTGCTATTAGTGAGTTTGCAAAGATGGAAGAGGTATAACAAATTAATTGATGGAAATAGACAAGATTTAAAACAATTAGTAAACGGAACTGCCATTGTGTGAACATGATAAAAGAAAAGATAAACTTAACAAAAGTAATTATCCCAAGTTATTGGATTGTTTTGCTTTCAATTACAAGAAAAAATGACATTCTATCTGCACTTAATAATCAAATGGCTGATGTAATTGGAATTGCAGCTGAAAGTGCACAGTTTATTTCAGTGTTAAGCAGATGGAACAACTGACTGTGCAATGCAATTATTATTGTCAAAAATAAAATGAAATTATTTTGGGATTTCATGGTGGAAATAATAATAAAAGTGCATCGAGGTTGGTTGACATGATAGAAAAATGTGTGACACTGAGCTGTCGGCCCGCGGTCAACTCCCATTCGCAGCACAAAACTGTGATATTTCTCCAACCAGCGTTTTGGGGTTGACTCTTCGTCGCTGCCACCAGCCTGTGCCCTTGTTGATCGTTAGTCGTCGCTACCCGGCAGAATCCTTTGATCAGGGTACCAAGTGGGATGGTCAGTCGATGCTAATGGCTTCACACCAGGTTCGACACCAGGTTCGACACCAGGTTCGACACCAGGTTCGCTCACTTCAAATGTCTGGTTACCGAAGCAACTACTTCGATCTCAAGTCTAAAGTACCCATGTTGTGATTTTGATCTTAGGTAGATGAGATCAATTAGACATTGGGCCTTAGTGAGTCTAAACTGGAGGTGATATCGCACAAGCGTAAAGAAAAGAAGCAAATAAAAACCCAAGAGGTTCAAATATGTTAAAAGTAACAAATTAACTTTTATCCGTCTGTTATATACAGGAGTGTGTTTTTCTCCCAACCCATTTTTTTTTGGAGAGTGAGACTTTTATGCTTCTAAAGCAAGTTCTGGTCTTCTAAGTCAACTGGTTTAGTTTTTAGCTTAGCTTCGTTTGTCAGTTTAACTTGCTATTGGTAGGATAGGCGAAGTCGGAGGTCATGGAATCTTTCAGTCAGCTTCTGTGAGGCAACACTCTGGTTCCTGCTACTCGAACTTCAACTCAAAACTGGTGAACTGCCCAAGGACGTTTGTTTATATGGACACCGACCAAAAACCAGTGTGGAGTTAGACGCAGCCTAGAGTTTTTGGTAAATCCAGATTTCCGACAAGAAACCTCTTTGTTGTCTGGCCAGAAAAATTGATTACTTCTCATTTTGGAAAATTAATCACTTTCCATTTTTGGAGGGGATCTCTTCTTCCATGAGGAGCGGTTGCAGAACAGCTATTCTCCCACTCTCCCCACATCGATACCTCATACCAAATACTTTCAGTGGGTGTTAATAATTTCCCAGTCTTTCTCATCAAATTACCTCCGCCTATCACCATTGCTATCACTCAACCAATGGCATCCCAGCCATGTGGGTGTGGCTAATCTGTCCTTGTTAAAATTATAACCTAGAATATTTTTGTTTACAAAACTCTTTCCCACCAGCCAAAATTCTTATGAATAACACATGGCCACTTAAAATCTCTAAGATCTTCAATGCTTTTGGTCACTTTGCGTCTTCTTAACCAGTATTTTACAAACATCATCAATCGTCAAAGTCTGCTATCTGGTCCCTTCATGGAGTTAGCATCTACAACAACCCTTGGCTTCTTGAGAAAAAAAATAAATAAATTGATAAGTTTCTTTATCTTCAAATCGACAATTCTTACGAGATATTTTCTCATGCCAAAATCCTATAATCAACACATGGCCACTTAACTTGCCGGTACTTAAAATGATGTCTTGGAAAAATAAATAATGCTAATTCTCTCTACTGTGTATCGGCAAATAATTTCAGAATATTTTCTCATGCCAAAATTTTTATAATAAACATATGGCCTGTTGCCTGATATCTTAAAAACTTTTTCTGATTCTTGTGTTTTCTTGGCCAGTACTTTTAAAACAACATTAATCAATTGTCAAAGCTTACATATGGCCTTTTTGTGAGTCCACTGTTTACACCAATTCTCAGGTTTTTGAGAAAAGTAACTCGATCTTATTTTTAATGTAAAAAATAAAATCTCAGAGCATCTTCTTTTCCATTCTCAGTATTTTCTTGTTTAATTTTAATGGTTAATTACTCACCATAACTAAATAGTGTCACAAATGTCTTAAACTCTTTTAGTGATGCTAAAACTAAATTAGTTAGACCTATGATGTAGCAGCCATAATGGAGTAAAAACAAAAGTGACGGTGAAACAGTTTAAATATGGAAATTTAATTCCTTGTTAGGCATAGAAGATGAATTTGGTTTAAAGCAGAGATGGCCTTAAAGTAGTTTTTCTGTTTGTACAGCTTTTTTAAATTTACATCTTTTGAGCAATGACGAAGAATGTGATTGGGAATTTTAATATCAGAATCTCATCATTGTGTTATGCAAGATATTGATATCGATCCAGAACCATGTCAAAGATTTATGTAAAGATTTGAAAAATGCATTTCAAGTTCAAATTATTTTAGACTATGACAAAAGTTTTGATAAAGATATACTTGATGAAACTGGCAATCTATTGGTAAAATTGAACAAATTCAATTTCGTGTTTTTAATGAACTGTTATTATACAAGCCAAGAAAGTGTTTGATATATTACAGTGTAAACAACTTGATTTAAAATATATCCAGGAAAAGACAAACAATTTTTATTCAATATATTGTAAGTCATTGTTATGATGAACAACATGAAAATATTATCCAAGAAACAATGAATACATTAAGTGTTTACTGAGATTCCTCCGACAAAAAGAACCAACAGAATGAAAATAGATGATAAAGTAATGTTATCTTGAAATATTTATTAAAGTATTTAACATCATTAAAAGAATGATTTACTCACATTGACGAGGTTTTTTATATTTTGAATTACTATACATGAAAAAGTTTTAACAGTTTACAGGTAATTTCCCATTGACGAATACAGATATTTTTTACGGTGGAAATACCCTGACAGGTTTGATTAGAAATCCTTGCTGAATGCATTCAAGTATTTGTATTGTGATAACGATTTTAAAAAAATACAAGTCATGCCATTTTAGAGTTGTTTCATAAGCTGGGCTTTTTATCTGTTATGCCAGAAACTGTGAAAAATGATTCAAATTTTTATAACCATCCTTCACTTGGAAACAAAAATGTTTCTCAATCTTGGATAGAGTTTGATCATTTTTAAGATGTACAATGGATAAAAAATGCCCGTCTTCACTGGTCCATTGAGAAACATTCTTTTTATTTAGAGCGACAAAATTATGCAACAAGAAACAAGAGAAATTTGTGATAAAAGCAAGGTACATGCAATTTATGTATAAATGAAATTCTGTTTTTTAAATAAACTTTGTTACTTTCTACTTTTTAAATGTATTTTTGTCCAGTCTATATAAATACATTGCAAATTTTACTATAGGATAGACTTTAAAATTATTTTACTGTTGAAATGTATTCAAAGTTAAGATAAAGTTAAATGTAAGACAGCGAGTTGGAAGATGGATGGCATGAGTAGTCAATTCTACAAAATTTGGAATGGCGACTGTTTGGAAAAGAAAAAAAAAAGAAAAGAAACAGATAAAGGGAAGTAATCATTTCCGTTTTCGTACAATGGCCAACTGAACAGCATTGCAAATCTGCATGTGACACAGAAAATTCTTAAATTGTATTTAGTTAAGTGATAACATTTATATAAAATCAGTTTTCATTATTTATACAGCTCAAAAATTAAAAAAGAATTTCAAAGTTATAAAAACATTAAGAACTAAGAGAAATTTCTAGAATGAAGATTGAATTTAATGAAAAAGTTTAGATTAACTTACAGACTGGATGCTGAGTTCCAACCAAAATATAATCTCCTGATGGATGGAATGAAAGACATCTAACGGGTGCAGATTCCTGAAAATTACAAAAGAAATTAGACGTTGACACATTTCAGATTGTTTTACTAAACCAAAATGTATTTTCTTCTGAACAATTCCAGCAAAATAACTTTATGCAAAAAAATAAATTGTTATTTTCTTAAGTTTGAATTCAGAATTTCTTTTGTCTGGTTTGAAATGATAATTCTATGATCAAGTGGATAGTATCAAGTGATATCATGTCTCTTCAAATTGGAAGTAAATCTAAGGAGAGAGTTTGGCTTACTCCAAGAACTTTCAGTCAATTGACTGAAACTGTTATTCACATCCTGTTCATCTGGGAGACAACTTTTCACTTGCTGACAAAATTTGTTAAATTGACCCCAGGAACAAAACCAGGTTCTTATCCAGAGCGTGTTTTGCAACATGTTCGGTTAAGCATGTATCGTCTCTTACAAGTTATTGAAATCTGGAGAAGCTGTCATGCAAATCTTTATTGTCAACAATCCGAGCATGTCAACAGATATATGCTTTGTTGATAATGAAAAGCTTCAGCCAGTAAAATCAACTTGGAAGAAAATAAAGTTATCAGGCTGAAATGTTTTACTGTATTCTTCACACTCATTAAACCTTTTGCACCATTAGCTCATCTTTTATTTTGATCACTCAGACATTCAAAAATAAGGAAAGTGTCAATTTAAATCCTTTGATATTTTTTCTTTCATTATAAACCCCAAATTGTGTCAGTATAAAATGAAAAAATACCTTCATGTTGGGCGATTGTTATTACTAATAAGAATAATTGAGAAATATTAAAATTTAATTGCATTTTCATTCAAGTTTTATCTTTTTGAAAATGTGATATATCTTTGTGAACAGCTTAAATTTTAAATTTCAATCCAAACACTGCTTCAAAATAATTGTGATAAGATAAAAATAAAAATTGCATATCAAAGATGGCATTTTAATTTACCTAATACATAGAAAAATAAATTCCTTCATAAATGAAATGGTGATGTCCCACTAACTGAAACTGTTTATTCAGACATTGTTGTATGAATTCTGTATTGATTATCTCAAGTGTTTAGGAAAGAAAACCAATCTGTCAACCAAAACGGAACCAGATTCTCTTTATTTTTTTAAATGACACATTTCAGATATTCCAATTTATTTTATTTTAGTAAACATCTCATTATTTAAATATTTACTAAATATTTAACTTCTTAGACAGAAGCAAACTGTTTAGTATTCATTCATGGCACAGAAAAAAAGTATAATTACTCAAATCAAATCTATCCTTTTGTAAATCCTATCAAGTCAGCCATTAAGATTTTTTTAACCTATTATAGATGATTGTATTAGATGTAAAAGTAAGAGCTGTATCAATATAGAATAAAGAAGGCTTCAAAATGTCAATTCTGTTAGCCCAAAATTTATTTTAGAAAAAACAGCAAGTCAGCAGAATTACATTATTTCTTTTCATGAAGAATAATTTTAAAATTATTGCAAAACATTAAAGAATTATTTTTGAAAATTATTTTTTCTCCAATGAAAATCCGATATCATTCAACGAATTATTCATTTACATTTTTATTATTGTTTTGATTATGTGAACATTGTTCGAAAAACATTTATTCAAATTGTAAAGTGTTTGAATGAAAATTAATCGAAAGGACAAGTATACTAAATAATAACTAATTCAAAATGCAAAATTTTTTATTGCAATAAAAATTAAAAGAGGAAATACACAAATGATAATTATTCGAAATACAAATATTGTTAAATAAAACAAATTAGTAAGAAAAAATCCTTATAACCTTAAGTTATATGATATTGTACACAAATAGTCAACCACTGAAGAGTACTCGTTAAAGGATGCCATTAAATTTTAAGTTTTCCATTTATGTTCTGGTATTTCTCAGTGCTCTTGATATTTTGGCAATCTGCTCTTATTTTTGCAATACGAATTTCTTGCATGTCCTGTTCTCTTTCAAGTGTGTCTAAGAATTTCCATATTGTGGGATGATGGGATGACACTTGCTGCAAAAAAAAGCCCTATGCCATCCTTCAAGGGTGTTATTAGTTCTAAGTAAATCAGCATGGACTCTCTCAAAGTAAAGACCACATAGGTATTTTGAATAATTATCATTTAGTATAATTGTCCTTTTGATTAATTTTCATTCAAACAATTTGAATAAATTTTTTCGAATAATTGTTTTGGGCATTATGGCATTGGATTTTTAATTTTAATCAGTTTGAAGGATTTTCCTTCATATGAAAAAAAAAAATTAATACTGTAGACTATGCTATTTTTCTAGCGGATGTAAAATAAAAAAATTTAAAAATACATTTTAAAAATGAAGGTCTACTTACCACAAAGGGTCAAAGAAAACGTCTGCCAAAATGTTGTGATAAAAACAACAAAAATGATACTAGTCCAAATTTGTAAAATAAAGAATTAATTTTGCTGTTTCAAAATCACATCAGCTATTTACATGAGCTTACCCCCAAAATATTTTAAGTATTTTCATGCTATTGAAATGCACAAATGGACTATCTACTGCCATACAACATACCGACAAAATATCATTAACAGCTATCATGATTTATCTCCCTTGTTAACTGAACTCAATGGCGTCAAATGTATTTGCTTAATGAAAAAATGTTGCACGTCCTACAAAGTCACTTTTTTATGCTTGATTTGTTATCAGTATTGTACTTTTTTATTCAACGGTTTGGTATAGGGAAAAAGTAGACACTCTTTTTGAGATAAATTTCTTGTTTTCTGATTTTATTAACTGAAATATTTTAATTTGAATTAAGACACAGAAAAGGAAAAGACAAGAAATAAAAGAAACACCTATACAAACATTTTGACTTGAGGCGGAGACATCAATTTGTTTCATTAAAAACAAGTTAATCTGCAAACGAAATTCAAAAACTAAAAGCATTCAAATCCTGAATGTTACCTGGATGCTTTTGTAGGCTTTTTTAACTGAAGGTTTTGAGAATTCAAAAAATTTGACACTGAAGTCTTTGCTTCCTGACACCAAAATCTGATGGAAAGGGTGAAAATCCAGAGATGTAACTTCCTAAAAAATAAAAATATTTAAAATTAAACAACCATTTAAAAAAAAAAATTCATTTTCAATTAAAACAGTAGAGTTTAAATATGAAAATACAAATAATATTTGTAAAATTTGATAATTCACCAAAGAGAAATGGCATCTTTAAAACATTTCTTTGCTAACAAGGAGAAAATAATTCTTACTATAACACGATGAGAAATGTTTCTTCAAGAGCTGTCAAAGCAAGAGAGAGAAACAGATTGTACTTAAATTTCACCATTAAGTGATTCGATAGAGGATGTGGGGGATCTTTGTGATTCCTGGTGTGGGAGGTAATTCAAGTACGTCAGTAAACAACAGTAATTTGTGTTCAACAAAAAGATTTAATTCTTAAAAAGGTGGAAGCTAATAATATCAACTCTGGTAGGCTTTGTTTCATTTTAAATAATTTTGTTATTAGTTGCAAATAAAAATAAATTTACTCCTAAAGACCAGTATGTTTAGCAATTTGTTAAAATTCCTTTTGTTCTGCTAAAAAGCATTTGGGAATTATTTTTTTTTAAAACAATCCATCTTCATTCAATAATTTTGGTTACAACTATATGTATTGGTCCACCTTTTTGATAATGTAGCCTATTTTTATTTTTATTTTGAGGGTGTTGAAGGTATGAGAAGTTATAATTGTTTACATTATTGATATTCAGTCTAATATCCTCATCTTCATTGTTATTATCACATTGTGTGTTCCAGGTATTTGTCAATCTGAGTAACCTTCAGGGAATTTTGAATTGAACCAATTAATGGTGTAGATTGTTCTTGTTTTTATTTAGCACTGCTCAGTTACTGCTCATCCTGTTTCAACTGAACTTAAAGTTTTGCACTATCATTGGGATATTGTTCTGTGGATTAAAGCATTGTGATAATAACAACAAAGATGAGGACAATAGTATGATTGTAAATAATGTAAAAACCTAAATTATCAGCATTGATAAATTAAAGAGGAAAGTTTGGTGTTGTTGAAAGTTTTGTTGCATCTTTATTTTGCCATATTTTCACAATATACACTTTGGGCATAATGTAAAATCCTATTTTCAGCTGAAGAAAGTAGAAATAAGCTGAAACAATGAAGAATTTGAAAAAAAAAACTGCTTACAGCATTGTGGTCATATAAGGTTCTGATGACAGGGTGGTTCTCCATTGTTTGTTGTGGTGTTTCCATGGCAATAATCTCAGCAGGGGTTGCACTTTTGGCCAACATTCTTTCGACATCTAAAATCTGAGGAGTTAAAAAAAATGTCAAAAATCAAAATGTTATTACTTTTCTCCAAACTATCAAAAATATGTATTATTACTTGGATATTATCAGGTTTTATCAGTTTTGCACATCTCTGGAGAGAGAGAGAGAGAAGGGTTGTTTCATACCTTTCCCAAGAGTATGCATGTAAGTGAATGTAATGAACATGACTGGAATTCAATCTTGGAGTCACAATCCATTACTCTACCAAGTATTAACACTTCTAAAATAAACAATTGTTTATTTTATTGGTTTTGATGACTGTATTTAGATTTGTTCATTTTTTTTTCTTCCACTTTTTTATATTTTTTCTCTTTCATCCGATCAGTCCCTTGGGTGATCAACTCTTTATTTATTTTTTACATCAATGAAAAAACAGTAAAAATTTTACAAAAATGATTCTCAATTGAACTTTGTACATCAAAACAAATGAACCTGATTTTTATATAAAGGAAATTTTTTTATGATTAATAAGTTGAAGAATTTTTTTTTCATTTTTTTAATTCAAAGATTATATTAAGACAAAGAATAGATGAAGCTTCTTATAGGTTGTTTAACTGATTGATTTGTTTTTTATGGCTTATCAACTTTTAGCAGGTTATTTAAAGCCAGAAAATATTTTTGTAGATAATGATAATTTACTGATAAATTCTCATAGCTTAGGGGCGAGGGGGAGAAGAGGCAGATTCATCTTTTTCCCAAATTGTATTTGTGCGTAAGTGAATATAATGAAGCCCAACTTTCTGATTTCCAATTCTGAGCCATTATCCATTTCATCAATCGCACATCCAAGCTTACAACACCTGGTATTCTCAAGCAGTCACCCATCTAGGTACTGACCAAGTTCAATGTTGCTTAACTTTGCTGATTGTATGGGAACCAGTGTTTCAATGTGACATGGCCATAAACCACCTTATTGTAGGATCATTGGCCATCTAGCACAATTGGACAGAGTGTTTTCCTAGAGTGAAGTCAACATCCAAAGTAGAGGGTCCCTCGCATGAAATCAACAGTCACATGTCTGTGAGCAAGTTGGAGGACATTGGTTTGCCCTGGAGAGGAAGGGTTCCACCAGGTTGACTTGCCCAAGACATGCCTCAGATGAAAGAATAACTCTCTGGATTTCAAACCAGGTATATGGAGGGAACTAGTCAGTTGTTCAGCTGCATAGTGAGCCTACGACCAAACCCAGTCATGGAACAGATGATGATGAGGATTATGGCATCAAATATGTATGATACTTTAGCATATCAACATCTAAATGGGTATATTAGAGAAAACATAGCTGTCTTTATGTCTGCATCCTAAAGGATGGTGATGATGACAGCTCTTCAAAGGAACAGTGTGGATTTAGGTGAATGCCTGTTCCAGGATGCTGTTGTTATCAAATTTTCAACATGAGGTGACTGTTCTCTTTAACATAGAATCCAACTTGAGGACTGAAAAAAATGTCAAATTTTGCCAGAGTTCTTTAGTTCAAATACTACATCTAACAGTTATTTTTTTGTTCTGTTTTAAGCTACTAAATTTCTATCCTTTGCTTTTGTTTCAAATAACTATAACAAAAATTCCATAATTAAATAAACTGTTTTTTTGTGGAGTACACTGTATTAAAGTGAATTCAATTCTCACTGAGTGGGGATTGTGACTTTGGGCTGCATACAACATAAAATAAACTCAACAGTGTATATAGTTAGGTATCTATCATGCTGTGATGATGAGCTAGATTATTTTGCAGACCAAATTTCTATCAGAGTGAGTTTAATACTCACCGAAACTTCCAATGATGTGGCCTTGCGCCAGTCTAGTTAAGCCTAGTAAATAACCATGCACCAAATACATGAAGGAAACTAAATAACATTTTGAAGTCTTGAAAAATAAAACAAATGTTGAAGAATTTCACGCTCACTTATTTTGGTTATACAAGAAGAATTTTGAAAAAAGAAAAAAAGAAACTCAAGTAAATTAATACAAATATGAAAATAACAATAGACAAAAGATATTATTCTAAGATGTTTGATTTTTCTTTACATTGCAAATTTTTAAATAGTGTTTCATCATCACAAAGCAGATGCTGTTTTCCGTAGTCATAATTAATGGTTGTACTCTTAATGAGGTTCCCTGCCCGGACAAAAAGCTGTACTCTTAATGAGGTTCCCTGCCCGGACAAAAAGCTGTACTCTTAGTGAGGTTCCCTGCCTGGAATGTCTGTTGGGACCAGTCTTCAAGTGGGACTTTTAATGTGATCCATCACTAAAGACGCTAGAAAAATGGTCGGTTCTCTGTACCACTCCAGAAAGTATCAGACTCATTCTGCCGTGCCCTATCTTTAAGAGAGTCTGATCAAACCCAAAATGGCATATTGCTGCCACATTTGGGCTGGAGGTATGGTGGAGTAATGAATAGCAGCTCGAATTGAGGAATCACAGATCTGAGTTTGAATTTCAGTTGAGTTTGTTACATTCCACTTAAATGCAAATATTCTTGAGAAAGGGTAAATAGCAGAATATACTGGGTTCTATAGCCTTGAGTGGCAACCAGTCTAGAAAAAGGACAACTCTGAATTCAAAAACTGTATGTAGCCCAGGCAAAGAATTGTGGAATTTACCATGATTCTATGATTCTTGTGGAATTTACCATGATTCTATGATTCTTGTGGAATTTACCATGATTCTATGATTCTTGTGGAATTTACCATGATTCTATGATTCTTGTGGAATTTACCATGATTCTATGATTCTATGATTCTATGATCCTGACTGTGGTCTGGGCTAGAGCTGCCCAATCTTCACTTTTCAGCCTTGGCAGAATTCAAAAATATTTCTGTAGCCTTGTACTTAATAAATTACTTTCCACCCTACATAAATGAAACATTGCTACTCTATCAGTATTTTCATGGTAGATATCCTGGCAAACTACTTTCTTTGGTTCCACCAGTCCAGCCTTTTATAACTAGAAATCGCCATGTCATATACATTGATGAGGAGGAAGTTTTACTTCTTCCCTGTTACATTGTGGAACAGACAACAGAGAGGTTGCTTCCCTCATCATAAGAATCTTAACCTTTTCAAGCCAAGGACCAATTCTTATTTATCCTACATAAACTCACAATATGCAGCTTTTACTAAGCTCCTTGTATGTGCTTACAACCAGTTTCATTTAGTAATCTTCTACCTTGAGTGGTTCAACAATAGTAAATAAAAATATATATATAAAATTATTTATTCGAAAATTATAACAAATATGTTATAAAATCATTACAAAAATACCCATTTTGTTTCAACACTTCTGGTGTCTTGTCAAGTAATTGTGTTGAATAAAAACAAAATAAATAGAAAAACATATTTTTTTTTCCTCAGTTTCTTTAATTTCATAATTTTGAACTTAATATAGATTAAATTTAAAATTGGTAATTTTTAATTTTATAATATAATTTAATATTTATTAGTTAGAATGAATTCTATTTTAGTCTAACCCTAACGTTAAATAATTATTATAACCAAAGTTCGTTGTCAAGATTTTTGAATTCTCATATACTTGTATTTTGATTGGTCATTCCAGCTTATGTAACAGTGTTTCCACTTAGCGAGAGATGTTTGATTGATTTGAACTTTTTAAAACCCCCTTTATTATACATTAAACACCATCACTTGATAAGACACCAGAAGTGTTGAAAGAAAATGGCTATTTTTGTAGTGATTTTATAACATATTTATGTTATAATTTTCCAATAAATAATTATAATTGCTCTACTCTGTATTGAGCACTCTTTTAAGAATAGTATTTTTTGGTTATTGGAATTCATTCCATATACACCAATCCTATACTTGATATATTTTTTTTTTTTTTTTATATATATATATATATATTTTTTATATATATATATATATATATATATATATATATATATATATAGAGAGAGAGAGAGAGATATTGTTTACCTTTATAGAAGCATCCTCAGAACCAGTAGCAATCAGCTGACCTTAAAAGACAAAATAACACTGTAAAATTTTTTGAAAAAGTTTTTTTTTTTTTTTTTTATAAGTTCTGACATGAGATATTTTCATTATTATAAACATTATTTTCATCTTTGTTGGTTTATGGCCACATCACATTGAAACACTGATTCCCATACGATCTCCAAAGTTAAGCAACATTAAGCCTGGCCAGTACCTAGATGGGTAACTGCTTGGGAATACCAGGTGCTGTAAGCTTGGATGTGTGGGTGTGGTAGACATGATGAGACAGAACCTGGGCCGAGCACAACTGGTTCTGACTTGCCTTGTTCCGCCAAAAAAGAGCCCGTATTTGCTTAGCCTGTAAAGCTACCGCAGTTGAAATGAGGGAGAAAAAAGCACTTAGCGCTCTGCCATAATCAGTCCTCGGCCAGATAACGTAAAAGAATGGGGGGGGGGACTTGCATTGCATTTTTATGCAATTACAATGCAATGCATTATGGGACAGGGACGCAATGAATTATGGGATCGCATGAAGATGCAAGGGATTATGGGTATATGGACAAATATAAAAGCATTTAATTTTTCCCAGTGCGAGGTGCTTTGAGGGACGTTCACGGTTGGCGGCTAGAAATGTCTGTTAATGTGATTTTGTGACAGAACTCAAGAAGGAACGACTCGAGGTTGGAATACCAGTTGGGAGAGCTTGAATTTATTCGCTGGTTGCTGTTTTCTTTATATTCACCACAGTGGTGTAATGGATAATGGCCCAGAATCGTTAATTGGAGAAATGAGTTCAAATTCCGGTTAGTTTCATTATATTCACTTACACACAAATACCCTTGGGAAAGGCATGAATCCACCTCTTCTTTGCCAGCTATGTATTAATTAGTAAAAATTGTATCATTAAAAAGAAAAAAGAAATCCTTAGAATCTCAAAATATTTTCTGGTGACTTTAAATAAACTGCAGGGGATTGATAAGCTGTAGAAAACACATCAATCAATCATCTTTGTTGATTTTAAACATATTTTGGCTGTGTTTTTGCCTTCTTTGATTATATGTGGCAATGACTGGATTTTACAAGTCATTTAGTAAAGTTTATCATCTCCCTAACCAAAATAAACTAACAAATGTGTTAAAACCAAAGTTAATAGTTTAAAAAAAAAAAAAAAAAAAGGAAGTATAATTCTCTCCAAAGATAATTTTATCTACTTAATAAGAAATATTTATAAAAAAAAATATTCAAGATTTTTTAAAAAATTGAGGGAGGGGGAATAATAATCCATTTTTTAATAAATTTAACTCTAGTTAAATACTTGCTTGTACACACTTAGTATAAAATGTTTATGCGGACATAATTAGTGTAGTGACAACTCGGAGAATGTGGATAAAGAAATTTTAGGTTACAGTTTTATTTGAGAATGACTGGTGAAATTCATCTAGCAGTTTTTTTTGTTTTTGTTTACATTCAAGGGAGGACAATATATACATGTTAAATACAACTATGTTTTAACATGTTTAGCTCCCTGGCAATATGTATAACTGCCAGGGTATGCAAAGTAAAAGAGTAAATTGCCTACAATACTTACCAACTCTCCTTCATAAATCAGGTGATATTCTAATAATGAGAATTTGATTAAGATATCTAATGATAGTACAAAGTGCATGGAAAGTCAATTCTTGCCTTTCTAAAGTGTGTTAGCATGAAATAAGCTCCCCACCCCTCAAATTTATCTTCTTCAAAAAGTTACTGGAATTTCTTTAAGAAACAATGATGACCCCTTTTTTAAAGAATTTAAACTCTGGATTTAAATATTAAATGAAAACCAGATACCACTCTGTGGTATCTATTGATATTTTGTTCCAATCATCTAAGGAACCCCTTATTCATAAGACCTCTTTCTGTTATCAGCATGTTGGTTGAACTCACTCTCTGATTTTCTTTGTGATGCCCCTTGGATACACATCTTTAACCCACCAATTGAGAATTGTGCCACTGAAGTTTCTTCTTGGGTCAAAGCTGGCATGGACACTTTCATTCATTCTCAGGTGAAACCATGATCCATGGTTCACACCAGAATGCTCGGCCACTATAGCACACAGGAACCACTATTTTCGGCTATATCAGCATGACAGCCGATGTCACAACAGATGCCTATTCATTGCTGCGCATCTTACTTATTATAAAACGCAGATTGTGTGTGTGTGTGTGTCTGTATGTTTATATATTGGATCGGATTTCTTACATTTTTCAACCGGTTTCAACAAAACTTCACAGGACTACGTAAAATAAACCTTGCGGTGGTTCTGACAGTGCCAAAAATTGGAAAAACACAATTGTTTTTGCACAAAATCAATTTGAAAACACGATTAAGAGGCATCACAAGAATGAAAGGGGGACAACTCATATCGAGTTATACTTATTATAAAACCCAGGTTGTTTGTGTGTGTGTGTGTGTGTGTTCATTTATATATGGGATCGGATTTCCTACATTTTTCAACCGATTTCAACAAAACTTCACTTTTTTTTTGGCAGGTAGTGTTTCTTATTGTCTTGCACACTTTTTTTTTCTTTATTTTTACATTCAGAATGCTTTAAAAATTCCATTTACAAGACAATTGTTTATAATAAAATTCTATTCAATCGGTAGACTCATAACGATTAAAAACAATGTTTTTGTTTGAGTTTGGATTTGACCAATTCGTTAAAAAAAAACCAAAACAAAAATGCGTGTCTGTCAACCTTAAACAATAACCTTTGTCAATTTTATTTTTCAGTCTTTATGATGGTCGATACTTGATCTATCTCTTACTGTTACATCCCCGGGCAATGCCGGGCTCTACTGCTAGTAATAAATATAAAGAAGTCTTTGAAGTAACTAAGTCTTTGTTTGCTGAGAGATTGAGACACCACATAGCATCTAACAACTTTGGCTCACATAATTACAGGTGGTTCTGTAATAGGGTACTAAATAAGTGTAAGGTCTCTATTCCTCTCCTCTTCAATCAATTTGAGGTGTTAACATCCTCTGCTGATAAAGCTGAATGCTTTGCCTGTAAATTCTCCTCATATTCTACTCTTGACTCATCTGGTGTATCCCTACCTAACTTCCCACTTAGAACTGAGTCTCTGTTGAGTGATATGCTTAGAGGCCCTAATCAATGCCAAATCATTTCTCAATGTAAGCAATATGGCTTTTGTTTCTTCAGGTCAGCTGCTGATGTATTGATAATAATTGTGGAAGGAGTTTGATGAGTTAGAAGCCATTGTTAAAGTGCAAGATAAATAACACAATCAGAAATTAATAAAGTTTACAATGAAAAGAAAAAAGGTAAAAAATATGAAACAGTAACAATCATGCAAGAAAACAAAAAATATAATTAAAACAAATCAAAATTGATGAAAAGGCAAAAGAATTCACAAACTAGAAGTTGGTGTTTGTACACAAAAGCAAGGTCAACCAAGCAAACACAGAATATCTGTCTAGTAGTTAAGGCAGATCTAGACTGTGTGATCTCAAAATGCAAGCCGTCCCATTTTATTTAAAACTGTCCTAGCATGCATTCTGTGTCCTTCTGACTATAAGAGGGTGAGGGAGAAAACTTTTGCAATCATTCCCCTTCATTGGGAAATCAACAGAGTTTATCATGCTCTGGATAAAAACAGTGAAACCCAGGCTGCAGCATTGGACGTCTTGAAAGCCTTTGACGGTTTGGCATACAGGTCTTCTCCACAAGTTGAAAAGTTACAATGTCTCTGGACATAATTTTGAACTGATCCAGTCTTTCCTATCAAATCATAAAATGAAAGTTATCCTGAACAACCACTCATTTAGATCCTTTTGTACTAACATTGGTGTCCCCAGTGCTCCATCCTTAGCCCTACCCTGCTTTTAATTTTTATTAATGACCTTCCTGATGGCATCAGCTCTCAACTTGGTATCTATGCTGAGGACACAACCATTTACTCCTGCCTCGATAGCAAAGCTGATCAGTCTGATAAGGTCAAAATTGTAGACAATGTCCAAAATGACCTCAAGTCCATCATTAACTGGGGTAAAAAAATGGCTTGTTAATTTTAACGCCTCCAAAATTAAACTTCTCTCCATTATTCATCTGAGAGACCCACTCTGCCTTCCATCAGCATGGCTGATGCTAACCTCCAGGAAAGTGACTTGTTGTGCTAACATTCTCAGCTGACATGAAGTGGAAAGACTATATTGAATCCATTGCAAGGTCAACTGCTAAGAAAGTTGGTTCACTGTGTCATGCGAGAGAATTTTTCTCTCCAGAATCTATCATACATATCTACATGTCTACCATTCATCCATGCTTAAAATATTGCTGCCACATATGGTCTATTTACCTTGAGATCCTTGATAAAATCCAAAGAATCAGCAATATTATTAGTCCTGATCTGGTGAGTTGGCTTTAGTCACTTTCCCACCACTGTAAGGTTGCATCTCTGTGTCTTTTCTATAAATACTTTCATGGTAATTGTTTGAATAAGCTCTTTGTTATGATAGCTAGACTTTTTGAATTTAAGTGCAGTACTAGACTGGCGTCGAGATCTCATCAATTTACAATCAAGCTAGCTAGATGTAACCGTAAATTCTATGCTAACAGTTTCTTTTCTTGCACTTCTCATTTGTGAAACTTCCTCCCAGCTCCATGCTTTCCAGTCAACTTTAATCTGTAAAAGTTTAAATGCAATGTCAATCGCTATCTACTGTCCTCCAGATTACTCTTTCCTCTTCCCATTCATTATTAATGTTTCTGTTCCTAATTCTTCCACACCCTGTAACCCCTTGTGTCTCAGTGGCTTTACTGCCTTGCATGCGGTGAAAATTTCAATAAAAGGCAACTAAGATATTAAGATGAGAGTAAATACAAATCAAAAAATAATGGTTGACAATGCTTTATTGAAATTAAAGAAAATTTTAAAATAAAAAAGCTAATTTGAGATTAAATACTTCTCAAATTACCTTTATTTTATTTTTATTAGGTTAGCTGTTCAAATTTTAGGTAATTTGTCTAGTAATATGGATTAGCAGAGAAAATCCCACCTGAATGGTGAAAGGCTCCTGCCCTACAAGCTGCCTTGTGTGCAGTGACATAACAAGTCTCATATAAAGCTGCTTCAGGAGAAATGGTTTGCACTGGAAAAGAAAGAAAATGGAAACAACAAAATATTATTTATAATTCAATAAAATTATTCCAATCTCAAACAAAATAAGGCTGCCCTTGTTATTAAAACAGAAATGTTAATTCTAAATCAAATGACTATTTCTGTTAATGGTTCACCTAAGATGTATGAAATAAAAATTGATACATTTGTCAATAAAAATTAGTTTAATTCAATGCTTGGAATCATTCATTTTGAAAAATATTTAAATAATTTACATCCAATCATATTTTTTGGCATTTAACATAGAATCAGGATTACATTTAATGCTGTCTGAGAACCAATTTTTATGTCTGTGAATAACAGATGCCTAATTTTATAACCAAGTGTGCCGTTAACAATTTGGCTATGGGAGACCATCTTGATAAAGCAAAAATCAATTATGTATTTAAGGAAAGCACATCCATCTCTCCTTGGGAATTTTTTGAGTCTATATCTGTTAGCTTCAGTTTTGTACCCCCAAAAACAAACTTTTCGATCTAGGCCAGTTGTTATCAATTTTGACTCAATTATTAATTTTAGCTCAAATTAAAAATAACATTTATAGTAATAAATATTTATATTTATATTTATAGTAATAAGTAATAATGCCAGATTAAAAAATTCATTTGAAAATTGCTAAGTTTACATTTTGGGTACAAAAATGCAGCTAGCAGATATCAATCTGTAAAAATCCCAATGAGAGATATTGGTTTACTAAGTGTAGCTTAGTTATGGCACAAGGGTGAAAGTATGAGCCACACAGTGAGGATCGAACTCACTTGCATCGCTTGCACCCCACCACAAACAAAACATTGTTTGCCTCTTGCTACACTATTGCCATTTTCATGGCATATGTTTGGGGTGGGCTTCATTCCACCTTCCAGACCTGCACATTTAAGAGCCTCCAGGCAATATGCAACAAATTTACTCATCCTCATTTCTTTCATATTCCATTGGTTTGGAGAAATTTCCACTCCAACAGAGTTTCACTCAAATGTTGCAAAGCGGAATGGACTCCCAAGAGGATGCTTCCCTGATCACTACAATTCTATATATCCTCCTAATATGCACCTCTTCAGTAACCCTCTACCTTGAATGGCTCTTGGTAACAATTTGGCACATTTACCTTTGGACAGTTTGCTTTAAGACACCTCATGTACCATTTAAAAAATTGTTTGCGTTAAGTTTAAACATTACAACACAAAGTTGTCACTTGGACATAAATGTTGACATTTATGATGGGCAATGAAAAGTAGATACGACATAGAATACAAGAGAAAATAGTGCATGCAAAATGAATCACTATTACAATATCAAAGATCAAATGACTTCATTCAAAAATGGTGATGCCATGCATATATTGGCATTGAAAGGTAGTCATGTAATATTAGTGTTTTCTGAACAAACAAATGACAGCCCAATTGAAGATGGCAATCAATAAATAGTGTTTGGAACTAGTTAATGGTAATACCATAAAATTCTATCAGGATAATTGTAAGCGTCCTGAAAGCAAAGGAAGTAGTTGTCGCAGATTACTTCCACAACACAAAGAAAAATCACTGCAAGTACAGACTTTAATATCGGGGGGCAGAAAGAAATGCTGAAAACTCGATTCGCCGGTACTATCTCAAATCACAATGCATGTAACCAGTCAAAAAAATAACTCACTCTCTGACAAATGCCATAGCCAAAAATGCCCGAATTTTCCACTCTCGAATCGAGAACATCAACTGCTTTTATTGGCAGAACCTATTTTTTTCATTCGTCGACAGCTGGGATAGGATGTTCAGTAATTTGCATATCAAAATACTTTTATAGCGACTCCTGTGACGGACTTGTTTTTTGTTTTTTTTTAATTCAAATATTCCATTTTCAGCATGTTATGCAGAATACGTGCCCTTTTGTTTGGTAAGTAATTTTCTTTTTCGCCACCTTTTCCATCGTAGAATACACGCGACGCACTGTCGCTTGGTTTGACGAGGTAAGTCGCCGTTTTCTTTGCTATAATAATGCTAAAAGATAGGTGTCTATGATGGCTGGAATGATTTCTTTCACCCATTGGGCATTTAATAGTTATTACCTCTGGATTATTATTTACTAGAAATATGTAGAACACAGTTAAAAAGTGTAGAAAAAAATCTATAGATTTAAGTAGTATGATTAAAATCTCAATTTTGTGCAAAAGTAGGATTACATGAATGTAAAATTAAAATTTCCATATTAGCATCTATTGATCAATCAGCGAGGTTGTCTCAAATGCAATTCAAGATTTGAAAAAGGAAACAACCGTTTCTTGTCATATGCTAAAGAAAATGAAGGCTTACATCCAGAAGATGATTAACAATCTTTTCCCTCCTAAAAATTGATATCACAAATTGGGAAATATATTTATTAACCAATAAAACTTCTGAGTTTAATAAATCTAACTTTTAACTTCCTGTGATCTGATTTTTTTCTTATAAATAGCGTAACATAAATTAACAGATTGGTTTTTCAGTATATTTTTGATGGGATAAAAATAATACTGATTACTTAAATTTTTGCGTACTCAAATTAACTTATTGAGTGCTAAAGCTCTTTTGTGCAAATTATTGCTTGCTTTTAAAGTAATTTTTAAAACTAGTTTGCACAGTTTACATTAAAAAAATACCCAAGTGAGACATAAACAAAAAGTAGCTGTATTTGCACTGATACTTAGCTGACCAGCCTACTACTGCTAAATTTACACTATGCATACATAAGTTAAATGTGGATTTCCCAAGTGAGTCAATGTAAAAATTAATATGAGCAACCTTACCCAGAAATCAAAATGGTTGTTAATTCCATTTTCTGTACTGATAACTACTGCAACACTATGCATCTCTGAATTACGGCATGAATCTACTCCTCCCTCTGCTCTCTCCCATTCCTTAGTATTTTGATAAAAAAATGTTTTAGAGGGTGTTCCAATAACTTGGACCGATTTTAAACTTAATTCCCATTTAAAATTGGTTAAAGTTATTGAAACACCCTTTATAACATTTGAGAAAATAATGGAGTGAATATTTGGGTAAATCATTTTTCTGTAACCATATTAGCTGACTAGGAAATAACAGCAAAATGTTGGAACACTCATTGTTAGCCTTGACAGGAGGCATGTTATAAATTTGTAAATGGACAAAGTCACTATTTAAACCTACATAAGATTATTTATTAATATAATATTCTTACATTACAATGACACACCATTGAATGTCACTCAAGTCAAGGGAACAATTTAAAATTTGGGAATGTTATCAGCCTTTGACTTAGAAAAAAATGGCTGAAACACAATCGACCTTTGGAAAGGTCACCAAAAGCAGAGTTATTCAATTCTTTGAGACATTTCCCATGTCTGTGTGGATTTTAGTCACTTTTTATGATGGTCACTTCGAATTGGGAAAAGGTCTTGAGTTCATACTTACCATCTGTTTCATATTCCAAGTCAATTCCTGTGCCTGGAGTCACGGCCTCTGTGGGGACTTGTTGCTGGGGATTTTGAGCTGAAATCAGTCATAAATAGTTCTTCTTAATCTGAAGATGGTAACAAGTTAAATACAGAACTACAGTAAAACCATAATTGATTTGTGTGCATTTGGATGTAGTACAATTAATTGTATTTCTGAAAACAAAAATACTGTGTGGCCATTTGACAGTTGGGAAATCCTAATTCTACCAATGTATGATTAATATTTGTAAGAATGTATTGTCATGAAATGATCCTATGTTAGTTTATAATTATTCTATCAATGTGTGTCAATGCATTGAAAAACCTTCACTATTAAACACTTCCTCATAGAATGTAGAGCCTTCGCTCCCATCAGAAAATGCTTTTACAATGCAAATAATAGGAAAGATCTATTCAAAAATGTCAACATAGATGACATTCTATCTTTTTCTTTGAGAAATAAAATTATACCAAAAAATATAAATGTAAACCCAATCAATACCATACAAAGATAACCCCTGGACAGGACCCCTGATAATGCTAACATATCATTAAAACCATTAATTAAAAAAAGTGTAAATATCAACATACAGCACATACTATCTCCTAAACTCTAAGCATAAAATGATCCCAGACAGTCCGACATGCCATTAAAATCCATCAACCAACAAACCAACCATCAATGCATTGAATCACATTTAGATGATATGAATGAGGAAAGTCTCATGGAATCAGGGCAGCAATGTATGTAATTATGAGGATAAAGAATATGTTGAAGATGCCTGCAAAAAATCATTTACATTCAACTTTCATTTAGGAAATGCTTTTGATTTGATTATGGATATCAAACTAAATGTTGAATGTAGCAGCAAAAAACAAAAATGCTATTTGATCCAAACAAAAAAAAAACTTGAAGATAGAAAGAATGGTACCAATACATTCAAGGATTATTTCTCCAGAAAAAAAAAAACTTTCCAAATTGCAAGCATTTTTCTTTGTTCCTAAATATTTTTAAATTGATTTTTTTTGTTTTTTTTTTTACTTGCAACAAATAAAAAGAGTAAGATATTGGTCTAGTTTTCATTTTTAATCTCCTTTTTCAGTTGGAATGAATTAAACTAAAATCCATAATAACGAGACCTTGAATAGGTTTTGAGAAGTCTGCACTAATTTAGGAACAAATTAACTGAATTATTCATTGCTGGATCACATTGAAACACTAGTTCCCATACAATCACTGAAGTTAAGCAACATAAAGCTTGGTCAATACCTAGATGATGACTGCTTGGGAATGGCCTGGAGAGCCAAGTTCCAATTCCATTTGGGTTTGTTATGTTCATTTCCGTGCAAATACCCTTGGGAAATATATGAATCCAGCCTTCTCCTCCAAGGTATGGGTTAATTAGTATGACTTGTATCACTAAACAATTATTATTGTCAAAAACAAAATAAAATGGTGTATAAAATATTTAGATTTCAGCATTAAATAATTCATAGAGGTGTTGATATGCTGCTCAACCAATCAACCAAAGTACTTTTGTGTCATGTTATTTCTGTGGGGGAAAAAAGCCTCTTCATTAGATGAGGTCAACAAAGATGTAAATCAACTTCACTCTAAGCCAAGGTGCAAGTGTCTGGTGCCAAGTGCTGTGGAGAATATGTTATGGCAGACAAGTCATTTGACATAAAATTTATTCCTGAATTCAAAGGCACAATTACAGCCCCACCCACACTTGAATGGCTTGAGAAAGTGAAGCTTGTTTGCAGAATGTGTGGAATCAAGAGACTGGAACACATTCTTTTTGCTGCACCTGAGTGGCGAGGCCCTTTAACATGCATCAGGTGCTTAGCAAGGAGCAAACATCATACGTCACACAAATACGACAATCTTAACTTTTTCAAATCAAGGGTCAATTGTTATCTCCTTATCCTCATAATCCTTACTCCCTCTTTCACTCATACCACATTCATTTTTTAACCATAACCCTCTTTCTTGAGTGGCTCTTGAGCCGCCTTGTATTACATGAATACAAAGTAACAAATTATGAGATTAATTTGCTTGCCACTGTTCTGTGGTAATGGTGATAATAGCAGTTTCCATAAAAGAAACATTTGGCATTAATTGATTGAACAGTTAGTATTACTGTTTGAGGAAACTTATAAAATCTTTTTATTAAAACAGTTTTCAGTTTTCTCAAGTCCATTAACTTTTATCATTCTTTCAATTATTGATTGGAGTTTCCTTTCAAACCTTTTGTTTAAAGTAGTGTGGAAAGTCAACATGTTGATTATATCATTATTTTCTCATCAAGTTATTTATGATACCCATTTATGTTGTTGCTGTTGAAAATCTTCAAGTGATGTCATTTTGGTGAAGCTATTGGTGTGTGATTTTGTAGTACCAGTCTATAGGTTCTGATGAAAAATTATCAAACAGCTTCACCCCAAGAGCTGTTGCTCTGCAAAACAAAATCCTGAGAGGACACTCCCCTGACCATTACAATTTTAAGCAACTTCAAGTCTATGGTCAACTGTTATCTACCCTACATCTAATAATCTACCATTCTTAGGTCTGTACAACAAACTCATTTACTAACCCACTATCTTGAGTGGCTCTTAGGCCTTGTGTTCAGTGATAGTATAAAATTTTCTTCAAGAGTGCCCAGATTCATTTGCTTGAAGCCATTTTTAATCATTGATCTGAGAAAATAGTTTATATAGCTGATAGTTTAGAAAATTTCTGAACGAGTTGGTCACCATGCATGACATCCATATGAGTCTAGATCTGAGGAGGCTATTTAAGAATACTATTTGAATTGGTTGCATAGAGATGATAGTTTAGACATTTCTGAACGAGTTGGTCATCATGCATGACATCCATGTGAGAGTCAAGATCTGATGAGGTTATTTAAGAATACAAGTTGAATTGGTTGTGTAGCAGTTACATCAAAAAGGATCCACTGGAACAGGGCAGTTGTCTCTCATCATTCTCATCAGCACCCTCGGCCCCAAGTGCATCAACTTCCTTTATCTGACAACACAATGCCGCTTGCTCAATATCTGCAGGACTTTTCTTCAGTATGGCGCGTGCTCAAGCTAGCACTTATGACATGTCCATATTGTCTAACTGGGAAGAGGCTCGGAGCAATTCCTCAGCATGCTCCTGCAACTCGGCGATAAACGCACACATCAAACTTCTATCCATCATTCCACCAACCAGAATTGAAAGTTTACGCAATTTGGCCAAAAAGACATCAACAGTCTCACCCAGGCACAAGCGGCGTGCAACAAATTGCTTCCAAGCTGTAATGGAGCCCAGAGCAAATGCCATATACAAAGCATTTTTGATGCAGGTAAAGTCTTTCTTCTTTTCTTCACTCAGCTGCTGGTACACAGCATATGCACCACCTGATAGACACATAGGAACCACACATTCAATATGCTTTACACTGCTAAGCTGGCATATCAATTCTGCCTTCTCTATCCACTCAATAATTGACTGTCCAGAATCACTTCCATCAAATAGTTGTATCAGTTTAGGATCAAAAGCCATAATTGCCGAAATAGCTTGTAGCCATCACATCAAAAAAGACCCGCTGGAACAGGGCAGTCGTCTCTCGTCGGCCCTGACTGCCAAAGCCTCCAGACACACTCATTTTATAGACCATGACGAAGCAGCCGATTGGTTGAGTGGGAGAGTTTTACATATGTGTAAGCACACTCCACCAATTCTCCCTTCCTCCAACTGCTCTGCAACACCATATGCATGCAATGAGTTAGTTGCTATGCAAAGCATCCATGAGATTCTATTTAAGAGCATTTGAGTTTTCAGGTAAATATTTGGATTTTGGAGTGTTGGACAAAAGTACCCCTAAAGCAATCCTATCCTATGCTCAATCCCTTTATCTCCTCAACTCAATTTGTTATTTCATTTGTTTAGAAATTCAAGAAGAGTCATTAACATTTCAAATACTGTTTGGACAATTAAAATGGTAAGCACTATATTCAGGTATTTGTCTAATAGCTTATTTTGGAAGTATTTAGGAGGATTATTTTAACAATCTTGTTTAAAGCTATTCAACAGATACACTGACCTTCTTCCGCTTTTAATCCAAGTTGTAACAGTTTCATCAAACGGTCTGATGGTGGACATGCTGGATATGTTCGAACTGTGGTGGCCAGAGTTGTTGCAATGTTTTGATGACCATCATAAAACAGTTGACTGTAAAATGTACAAAAATAATAAAAATGGGGAGATCTTATTTGTCAAAGAAGGTTTATTTATTTTCTTAAAACAGTTTATACTGCTTAAAAGTACACAGCATCAGAGATTGAAAACTAATTTCTTCAATTTGAAAGTGAAGTAAGGATTTCAGACAGTCCAACTTGCTGCCTCTCAACTGATGTTGGTGCAATTTGAAAGTACATATATAATGAAATCATGAAATTCGCTAGGCTTTTATGACAACAGAAATTTATTGTATTATTTATAAATTTGCTGAGATTTACCGTATATACTTATGTATAGAGTGACCTTTTTTTTGTTTTGTTAAAACATTAAATTTTTTGGCATGAAATTTAACCAGAAAAAATTTACCTGTGTATATTGCAAACAGTTACGAAAAATGCATGATTTTAACCTCTTAAAAAAGAAAAAATTACCTGTGTATAGTGTGACCCCCTATCTTTTGCATAAAAAAAAAAACTGATCATTAAAAACTCACACTATACTCAAGTAATTAGATTAACATTTTAAAGTGTTTGAACATTGAAAAATCCCCATTTTTTTTTAAAGTGGTTCAAAATACTTGATGTCGTTAATGTTTTGAATGAACCATTATTCAGTTCTCATTTTGTAAATATTACAAGAAAAAAAAAATTTTTTTGTTACCCTGAGGGCTTTTTCCTTGAAAAAAAAAACAAAAAAAAAACAAAAACATACTAAACCAATATACTTGAAGAGGGTTAAATAATAGATCAGCCATAATGTGTTTGTAACATTATTTACAAATTCATTCTTCTGCTATCAAACCATGGAAATTTTATATAGCTTACATTTTTATTATTACAAGCTGAATGCATGTAAATTCCCCAACTAAGATTATCCAATATCTGTCTATATCTCTGAAATGAGGTATTATGATTATTTACATTATTTGGACTGTTATCCTCACCGTCACACATGGCCCAGTGGATAAAGATGTTAGTTAGATCCAATGACTAGACCCAAAGAGTTTGAGTTCAATAATAGGCCACAGTAGTGGTGAACCAAAAATTTGGAGTTGATTTAAAGGGAAATAACTAAGACATTCAAAAGAGACATGGCACGTGGAACTAGAACAATCTACCCCAGTGGACGAAATAAAGGGTTTGTTTCATAATTCCAATCACCTGAAGAAGGCCGGAGTGTACAACAGCCGAAACATTGTGAATATGGCAACAAAGATGAGGATAACAGTCCGAATGATGTAAATAATAATAATAATGTATCTATTATCTCATGCTTTTGTTCTCTGCTTGTATTTCATTTCAGGATCTCAAAACAAACCCCAAGAATATGTTGAGGCAACAGCCAAAGAATGGAATAGCTATAAAAGAAGATTATTAAAATAATATTGTGATGAAAAGAAATAAAAAAAGATAACTTAGCAAGCATCGACCTTTCTGCTCACAAAAAGACGGAGTGTCAAAAGGGCAGTTTTCTCACACCACCACTTTTTTACCAACCTTCACTTTTCGGCAATATTTATTGATTTAAAAAGTTATGATTAGAATTATAATAAAACCTAAACATATGAAAATGAATTTATACATTTTCCTTGTTCTTGTGAATTGACAACAAAGCATAATAAACACTATTAATTATTAATTGTTTATTTACACTATTCACTAATTTATTTATTGAAATTGTTGGCTAAACATCAGCTAATTGTCAATTTCTTAAAACTTTATAAAACAGTAAATAATAAGTATTTCCTTATAGCTGGTTTATATATTTTAATAATTTAGTAAATGTTTATAAATTTATGAATAAAAAATTGTTTTCACATTTCTTTATAAATTGCTAAATGATAAATACTGCATTGCATTAGTTCTAATTGTATTAGTTTTTAGAATGCTGTAAATATAAAACTATTCTTATAAATAAACAATCTAATAAACACTTGTAGGAATCATTAAAATCCTAAAGTGATTATATAGAAAACTGAACAACAATTCTCCTGATAAAATTAATGAGTAAATTTTAAGACAAAACAATATTAATTTGTATTTGTTGTCTATTTTTGTCAGTAAAACTTCTTAACTTCTTTTGCTATAAATATCTAAGTTAAAAAAAAATTAAAAAATCTGTAATAAAATTGTTTTTCCTAACAATCAAATTGTTTAGTTTTCTGAAAAGGAAACATTAATTGAAGATTTCAATACAGGATAGATCATCAAACCTGAATGCTTAGAAACAATCAAGAACAAAAGGAAAACAATTTGCTATTCCTTTAGGATTTATCAGCCATTTTCATAAAATGGAGTCAAGATGAGGAGATGCTGAAAAGTTTTCAAACATCAGAATACTGATTTGGGGACATGAGTTGAACTGACAATTCTTCAGAATCCACTTTCATATATATATATATATATATATATATATATATATATATATATATATATATATATATATATATATATATAAATAAATTCTCTTCCTTTCTGCCATGTGACAATGGCCTAGAGGTAAGATATCCCGGCTTGAAGCAATCAGACGTCTAGCCACACTGAGGAGCTGTGATTCAGTGAAACAGTCTGTCTGTGGATGCCTATATATATATATATATATATATATATCTCTTTGTCATGAGTAATTGTTTTTACCCGTATATAAAAATTATAATAAATAATTATTGCTCTACACTTGTTATTGAGCCCTTTTTTGAATTAATGCTGTGAATGTTAGAATTTATATTATTTTTGTTCTCATTATATTTGGAGATATATATATATATATATATATATATATATATATGTGAACATGGCCACAGTATGCTGTGTTTGGAAAATAAAACTTTCCTATAACTCTAGACACATACATAAATTCCCATACATTCAATTAAAAATAAAAATCGCCCTTGATAATGGCTAAAAATAGCCAAAAGCACTCAGATAATTGGACAATTTTTACACACTTTGTGTCCAAAAAAGAAAACACTTATATGAACACAAGAAAAATTGAATAAAAAGCTTCATTGCAGTACTGTGTCAATTCTTTAATGAAACATGTATAAAAGAGGGATTGCTGTCCAAATATACAATTGTGCATGAGTGTGTGTATATTTATGCCTATGTATAGGGATATCTTGTCCACATCTTATTTTTAATATTGCTCATTTTTTGTTTGCTTACCCATTTCCAATGAGTCCAAGTACACACTGCTTGACCAAGGGATTGAACTGATAATTACTATTTCACCACATACCTCAATGCATTAATCTGCTACAATCACCCTGTAAACAATATCCTAGTGGACTAATAAGTAAAAATCAATTAGTTCTTTAGAAATTGTTTTGTTTATATTTCAGATACGAAACAGAGCGGGTTATGGCTTTTGAAAATCTGAATAAGTAAAATGTGCTTAAAGGCAAAACCTTGCTTGATCAAAACACTCTTCATAGCCAAGTAGTTAAAATACATCGTATCTAACAATGATTCCTCCTGCAAAAAGGGATGCAGGTTCAAATCCTGATGGAAGGAGCATTTTCAAGTCGGTAAACAAAATAAAATACTGTTTAAAATAAACTGAGTGTCTACTCAAATATGGGCATCAACTAAATATAAAAGTTTAATGTAGTAGTAGTTGTAGTAGTAATTATATATATATATATATATATATATATATATATATATAGGTAAGTAGCTAACTCCTAAGATTTGTTAAAAAATGAGTATACATGATGAAAAGATACCTCAAACTTAATAAAATAGTTTTATTGTCAAAATCATTAAGGAAAGACAAAGGATTTTTTGATGTCAATTATTATTATTTTTTTTTTTAAAATGCCTTTTAGAACCTTTGAAATTTAAGGTTAAATATTTTATTTCTCTGGTGTCAATGGGGCACATAAATTAATATGGGGAATTTGATCATCTTTTTTGGTTGTGAAAAACACATTAATTTGGAAATTATCAGATAATTGCCAATGTGCAATTGAATGAATTTTTTTTTTTTACATTTGCTAATTCATAGTTATTAATTTTTGTGAAATTTTTAGATTCTTTTTTGTAATGCTTAATGTTCATATTAGTTATAAGAAAAAGTCCTTGGAGAATTTAAATCATCAAATTTTTTTTTTTTTGTCAAAATAGGACCCCCAGTTGGAGATAATCTGCTCTGTACTGTAAAATAAAAAAATGCAAGAAAACTAAGACATTATTTAATTAGAAATCCCTTTAATTGCTTTTATGAATAAAATATCCTATTACTATGGACATGATGACCTGAAGGAAAATATTTTTCAATGAATAATGAATTTTTACAAAAATTGTTTTAATTTTTTTTTTTTAATTTTAATTAGAATAATTGTAAAAGTTTTAAATCTTAAAATTCTATATTAATTTATAGCAGTCAAGTGGTTATTAAATAAAAACTATGTTTACTAATCATAAATGGAAAAACTTGCAATTCAGCAACCTCCAGTATTTTAAAAAGAATTAAATTTTTTTGTGCGGGCATAAATGTGCCAAATCTTGTGAATACGGTTGTCCCTACACATTATCAAAAAATAGAAGTGGTAACTATAGTAAATTTTTAATTTATTGGTAATTTTCTAATATTTTCTCAACAAGAATTTTCATAAGACTATAAGGACAAAGTACCTAAAATTCAATAAAATGTTTAAAATTACTGGGTAGTTCAAAAATTATCTAAAAAAGGTAATTGTATCTGTCATGTAATTTTACTACAAGTATTTCCCCATCATTTACATTATTCAGACTACTGTCCTCATCTTTGTCGCCACAACGTTTCAGACGTTGTACGCTCCGGCCTTCTTCATGTGGTTGGAATTTCAAACTGAACCCTTTATTTCGCTCACTGGGGCAGACTGTTCTAGTTCCACGTGCCATGTTTGATGGATGTCAGTTATCAGTTATCTCCTGCTAATTTCCCTGTGAAAGTTCTCCACTGCCATAACTGGGTATTGAACTCACACTCTTTGGGTCCTGTCACTGGATCTAACCAACGCCTTTATCCACTGTGCCATGTGTCCTTGACGTAATTACAAATGGCGATTATAACTAAACAGATGGGTGCTTAGCATTGGGTAAGTTTGGATCCCTTAGTCCCACACGGTCACCCATGTAGATACTGACTAGGTTCAATGTTGCTTAACTTTGATGATCATACGTGATATGGCCATAGCTGAAAATGGTGTACTGTTGTCATATATGGATAGGTGCTCCCTAATTTTCACTTTCCACTCTCAATGGCGTCCAAAAGCATCTCTGCAACCTTGTGGGTGAGGAATTACTTCCCACCCTACAACTCTTTCCTTACAAGATGTTGCAAGCCTATCACTACACAATTGTTATTTCTATGTAGATGAACTGCGTGCCTTAGTTTCATCAGTCTTAGCCATCACGGTTAAGACCTGCCATAACGAACCACTCGAGCAGCTTCTTCCCATGAACCACTGCCTTGTGTAACTGACTCCCAAGAGGATGCTTCCCCAATCATTATAATCTTCTTAACCAGTCCAAGTCTACAATTAACCATTAACTTCTACACATATCCACATAAACTGTATCTCTTAATCTGTAAACCCTCTACATTAAGTGGCTCCAGCGCCTTGTACAGCATGAACACCATTGCAAAAAAACAAAACAAAACAAAAAAACAAACAAACAAAACAGCAAAATACTTATACTGGAAATATTAAATTTAATCGATTAGCGTGGAAAAAATAAAGCTTCATGAAAGATTTTTAATTTTTAAAGACATTCAAACTTTAGACACACGGTTTGCACTGATTATTGGGCTGATAATCGGTATTTGGTCATAATTTGTTTCTATACTCTGTTTATTTAAAAATCACAAACAAAAATTTTCATTCCGGGCGTAAATTTTTTTTTTTTTTTGCGCTATTACACTTTCGCACCTCCGCCTTGTATTTCTCTTATTACTTTTTCTCCTGTTCAGAACATCAAACGCATTTTTTAAACTTATTCCTGTTCTTCTTTATCACTCTGATGGTGGTTGATGAAATACTCAATGCACACATCACGGCAAAACTGATTCCAGTAAGAAGCTTTACCTCTTCCCTACAACGGCTGTTGTAAGCAATAGCTTGACTGCTGGGGGTGCGAAAGTGTAATAGCGCCCCCCTTTTTTTTGCTACTGTACGTTTGCTAAGAGTAATTATTTTAAATTATTTAAATAATTATTATTATCAACCGATTATAATCGATGAACTCTATTGCATTTTTATGTGTAATTTAAAAAAAAATCTTCCTATTCATAATGTGAAAATTTCAGTTTCGTCCGTAAAGATGGGAAGATTTTTTTTTTTTGGCATGCTTAAATAAAGTTCTGGTTGTAAAAACATTTTATAAAGTATTTTTATTAATATGTTGAATTTGATTTCAATAATTAAATAAAATTGCAATCACAAATAAAATAAATTCTCAATCTCAGACTGAATTTAATTAAAATTAGCTAGCATTGTTATTACGCTATTCCAATTTTAACTAAATCTTGGACATTCAACATCCACCTGAGAAAGGCCAGAGAATATATCGAGTGGAATGTTGTTAAACATAAAATATAAACAAAGAAAAGACTTTAAAACTCAAGACAATAAATATGGAAATATCAAAATAGAATTATTACTCCACCGGAGAACTTCAGAAAAATACCATTTTTGCGCAATATCGAATTTTGCAAGTCTGAATTAAACATACTGAGCTAAAGAGAACATTTTTCCGCTTCTTTTCACAAAATAGTGGAACTGAATGATAAAGGACAACAAAAGAAATGAATTTTATCATAAAAAAAAATTCATTAAAAAGTTCATGTAGCTGATAAGTCATGTTAAGAATTGTTTTGTTTGTTTTTTAACCTTTATCTACATGATAGATTCGTTACAACTTGAAACAGTTCACAAGATTTGATCGTAGATCTAAAAACAGTGAAAACTTAAAAAACAAACATTCATTAAGATAAGAAAAAAAAAAGTAACAAAGATTTGTTTAAATATCGCGGCACAAGTCGGTCCGCCATTACAAAGAGATACGAAAAGATGGAAAACGCGTGGGATAAAAATTTTATATATACAAAACTTTTGTTTGTTGGGACGGAGAAAATGTATAAAGGTGTACCTGATGATTAATCGATATAAGTTCTCACGGACTTTAGCTTCGATATCTGCCATTGTTAGATTTAAAATGTTTTCTTTTTTTTTTAGTGCAAGCAGTAACAAAACGTGGTTACAAGATGAATAACTCTAATGAAAAGCCGGTTTAAGTTGGTGCACGGTGTCAAGCGAAAATAGTACACAATTAAAAAAAATGGTAACTGATAAATGTACAGTGTGCGATGGATAAATTGTCATCTAAATTACGCAAAAATGAAAATAACACTGACATCTCATTTTATATTTATCAAAATTACACAAAAATATCGTGAAATACTAAAGAAAACATTTATTGAATAAAATTGCCATTGGCGTCAACCATGGCCTCCAGAACCAGACGACTTTGGAATATCCTGCAACTCTTCTGGATTGTCTCCTTGTTTAAATATGCTGCCATAGTTCTTGCCTTCAGTTAATCTTTGGTGTAACAAGGAGTTTTGTCGGTCTTTTGCTCAACTACACCCCACATAAAATAATCACAGGCATTGTGGTCTGGGAAGATAGGTGGCCAGCTGTAAGGGATGATGTGTTTGCAGAAATTTTCTGATAGCCATAACTGGGTTTTCCTGCTTGTGTGGTATAATGCAGAGTCCTTTTGCTTCCAGCAGTCACCCTTTTGACCCAGGGCAACATTACCTTCTCAAGGCACTTAATGTAGGCTTCTGTATTGAGCCTGAGGCCCTGTGGGAAGTTGAATGGAGTAAACATTTTAAATCAATGAGTTTCCATCTGATTTAGTTTAGGTTCCAAGGAAAAAAAATACCAAATAAAAATTTTCTTGCCATAGGAAAAAACAAAAGAATGATGCTTGAGGTAAAAGCAAACAAATATTCACAATTCTCAAAAATTTATTAAAAATAAAGGATTGTGGAATGCATACAAATCTATAAGCAATTTAAAAGTAACAAATAAAAAGATAAAAAAAGGTGTTTGCAGGACAGAAAATTATAAAAAAATGGTCACCTACTTTTTAAAAAAAAAGTAAAGTATTAGTATGCAATGGTTTTTTCTACACTAGCCACAAGAGCGATATTTGCATGAGTATTATTTTTTTTTCCTTAAAGTTCACAGTCCGCAAAGAAAATGAATGAAGTTCATATTTGATTTACTGAGAAGAAAAAATATAGAATTTTCAATTTTTTCTCTGGATAGCTGAAGAATAAAAGGTGTTCAAATTTTTTCTTTACTGAAGATAATTCCCTTTGCAATATTCAGCAACCCTGTAGAGATTGGCCTAATTTACTGATGATGTTGTCTTCTCTCTGGTGTCTCTTTCACTTTCAACTAAATCAGCTCAGAGGTAGCCATTTTGTCTGTACTTCTCATTTGGATGCAGTATATTTTATGTTGTTTTGAAAGGAAAAACACAACTGAAACTTCCTAGTTCTTTGTGATCAAACAGCATTATTGGGAGTTGAAACTTTCGGGAAAATAGGGTTCTCAAGTTCACTGTTAAAACTCTTTCTTGTATTGATGGGCGTTTCTTTCCAAACTTTTTGTCTAAGGTAATGTAGAAAGACAACACCTTGATTATATAATTATTGTCCTTTCCAATTAGGAGGCTTATGGCAATATTCAGCAACCCTGTGGAGATTGGCTTAATTTACTGGTGATGTTGTCTTATCTGTTTGTGGTTGTTCTTCTTCCCACTCAGTGGTAGCCATGTTGTCTGTATTACTGGTTTCAATGCAGGATATTTTCAATATTATTTCAAAAGTAAAAACGCAACTGCAACTTCCTTGTTCAGGCATCTATAGCTGGGTTTAAAATCTTGAACTGATGGTTGCAACATATACCAACTTCAAGGAGTGAAAAACTTTTTCAAATTAACTTCTCATAAAATATGTCACTTTCTTCTATAGATAAGTTACAAAATAAATAGCAACATTTTTATTTAGTGTCAGACTAAATATCTTCAGAATATAAAAGTTCCTTTTTATTTCCACTCAATGGAATAGATAATGAAATGGTTTTTAACCCAGAACTTGTCTCAACTAATTTTTTAAAAAATTCTTCTATTTCAAATTAAAAATATATGTCATTCAAACAATGGAGAATTTTCTTGAGCACCCAGCTGTCATGAGGCTCCAATTCTTTCTGTCTAAAAATGCATGTATTTCCCCAGACACCCAAGAGGTGCCTACACAGTAAAAAAAAAAAAACAGTAACTTTCAAATTTAACCAATCAGAGGGTGACATGACCAGATAGTAACAACAAATAAACATTACTAAAAATAAATTTCTTTTACAAGAAAAAGAACATTTAATTCACATTTTAAAAAAGAAACTCTAATTTATACAAATTATTAAAGATAAAATATTGATCTGTTTTCAACATATTTTTCTTAAATTAATTTATTAAAGGAGGCATAATTTGTAATCACCTTTAGACTCATCCAACTCTTTCTGAATCCTCTGCACTGTCCTCAGATTAACACACAAACACCTTGAAAATTTTGTATTGGAGCTTCCAGCCCAAATACCAAGTAATACAACATGCCATTTCCAAATTTCTGGTGGAGCGAATTGCATCATGGTGCTCTTTTTCTCACAGACAGTGCTTATCTGACCCTAATATAGTGTGTAGTCGACAAAATCAAAAACAAACAAAACATTTGCACAAAATTATAAATATAAAATGGCGAAAATTTACCCATCGCACCCTGTATTTATCTGTGTCACCATCAAATTGAATGTGTCGCAAGAACGAATTTAAAGTGGGAGTCTCACATGTACATGGTACCAGAAGTTAAAAACATACTGGTATTAGAGTCGCAAAACTACAAAGAAATAAAATGAACATTAATCGAAGTGCACAAACAAACAAAAATGGTGCTCCTAAACAAACTAATGTCCACAACAAATATTATGGGGATGGTAATATTACTACAAGAAATGCTATCAATAGCAAAACAGATAGGTATCAGCAAAGAAATTATGATACACAAGTTTTGAGATAATGCTGTGCTGATAAGTATTAAACCATTTTACCAGGAACAACAACCCAGAGTATACAGAGAACATCTATATTTATTTTGCAGAGCATGTGAGGACATGTAAGCCACAGCTTACAAATGACTCAAGAAACACGGTGTGCAAATGTTACCCACTTCCTGACCCCAAAGCCCTACAGCATGTGACTTGGAAAACTAATTACACGAACCAGTACTGCTGGGTTCACTGCTGCTAGAAATTACTGCACAATTAGGGGCAACTAAAATAAAGTTTATAGCAGACACAAGTGCAAGTATTTTGATAATACCGATGTCAATAATAAATGGGATGACATTAGACCTGACTCCTGTATCTCTGTCTACTGCAAGTGGAAAAGAAATAAAATACTATGGACAGGCTTGGAAATTGGAATACCCAGTCTAAGAAGATGCTTTACCTGGACATTTGTGATTACAGACATCACCAATGCACTTCTTAGATTTGACTCCTTTAACAAATTTGGCCTGACAAAAGACTGCAGCAACAGGATAATTTACAACCTTTTGACTGTTACAAAAAGGATTTAAAACTAACAACGACATCTCCAGTGAATCTGGTGGTCAATGAAGTTGAACTTCCTTCATTCACCCAAGCCACCTTGGACAAATACCCAGAAGTTATTTCACCATACAAAAATACCAGTAAAATATATTGCAGAGTTTAACACAGAATTGAAACAGGAAGCCATCTGCCTGTATTTGAGGAAGACAGACAGCTATCTGTTCAAAAACTTGAAGCAGTGAAAGTGGAATTTAAAAAACTACAAAATGGAGTGATCTCTTCTTCCAAGAGCAAATGGACAATCCCGCTACTTTTGGTTCCAAAACAAAATGCAGGATACCATTATTGTGGAGATTATTATGCATTAAATAGCATAACTACAAGTGACAGATACCCCATAACAAATATTAACTCCTTTTCTTCAAAACTCACAAATAAACTGCGATATTCTAAAACTGACTTATTTTCAGCCTCCTACCAAATCAAGATGCACCCAGATGATGCTCCAAAAGCATTGATTATTTCCCCATTTGGACCTTATCAATATGAATAAATGCTATTTGGGTTAAAGAACTCATTGTCAATGTCCCAGTAATATATGGATAAAATTTTCAGACACTTTGACTGTGTTTTTATCTATATAGATGACATTTTAACTTTTAGTAGTGACAAAACCTCTCCTAAAAATGATATAGACACAGTGTTCAAAATTTTACACAAGAATAATTTAAAATATCAACCTCAAAATCTGTGACTTCCCTAAATTTCTTAGGGTTTCAAATTAATTCAGAATGTATTTCACCTAAGATAAAAGAAATAGAATCTTTTGCCTACCCTAAGGATGCAAAAACCCTATGCAGATTCCTGGGTATGGTTGGATTCTATCAAAAATTAATACTAAAATTTGCCAAATTAGTCTTGCCCTAATATGAAAGGATGAGTTTAACAGCCAAAGGATCATTTACATTAAATGATTCAGAAAAACAATCCTTCAATGATGTAAAAAAAACTTTGGAAAATTAATAGCATTAGCTCACCCTCAACCAAAATGTGCACAATACCATTTGGTCACAGACAGAAACAAATATGCAGTAGGTGCTGCATTACATCAAGTTGCAGATGGAACCCCAATACCTATAGAACTTTTCTCAAAGAAACTAACACAAACACAAACCAGGTACTGAACCTTTGACCATGAACTTTTAGCAGCATATTTGTCAGTATTACATTTTTGCCACTTTATAGAAGGTCACCAAGTATTTCTGCTGACCAACCTCAAGCCAATATGCAGTGTATTTCATAGTTTAAAACCTGCCAAGTCAGACAGACAACAGAGATAGTTAGCTATTCTCTCAGAATTCATTTCACATATAGCCCTTGTAAAGGGTAGTCAAAACATAGTCGCTGATTGTCTATCATGCCCAACACTTGCTGTGCAAGTAGATGTTTGCAATTTACCAGAACTTGCTGAGGCACAAGCATCTGACTCTGAAATCTGATCTTTCCCAGATTTAAGGAAACTC